GCAGACCCCCAGAACTAGCTCCGAAAATGGCAAGAAAAAGCCTGAAACTTGGCACAGTGACTTCTTCACCTGCAGGTGAACAGAGCTCAACTTTCACATAAAATTCAAAGTGAAGAAATAGGCTGGGAAAATGAGCAGACAACAACAACAACAAAAAAAAAGAACATGACCATAAAAAGCTACTACAGTGACAGGTTAGAACAAGAAATAAACTTCAAAGAAGATAGCAATGTGAAAACAGCTATAAGTAAAGCCTCAAAGAAAGATGTTAATTGGACCCAAGGCCAGCAAGAGTGCCTGGAGGAGTTAAAGAAAGAGACAAGAGTGGTAGAGGAAAAATTGGGAAAGGAAATAAGAGCAATGTGAGAAAATCATGAAAAGAGAATTAACAGCTTGGTAAAAGAGGCCCACAAAAATACCAAAGAAAATATCACCTTGGAAAAAACAGAATTGGCCTAATAATAAATGAGGCACAAAAATTCACTGAAGAAAAGAACCCTTTTAAAAGCAGATCAGGCCAAAAGACAGGGAATTCATTGAAGAAAAGAATTCTTTAAAAAGCAAAATGGGTGGGGTGGAACCAAGATGGCAGAGTAAAAGCAGTGACTCCCTTGAGCTCTCCCCAAACCCCTCCAACTACCTGTAAAAAATTACTCTAAACAAATTCTAGAGCAGCAGAACCCACAAAAAGACAGAGTTCAACAAATTTCCAGCCTAAGACAATCTGGATGCTTGATAGGAAAGGTCTGTTGCACCAGACTGGGAGAGAAATGCAATTCAGTGTGAGCCGCAGGGTCAAAGATGGAGCCAGAGCAAACCTGGGGCAGTAATCAGGGGATTGAATCATGAGCAGCTGTGGTGGTTTTCAGACTTCTCAACCCACAAACACTAAAGACAACTTAGAAGGTCAGTGGGAAAGTTCTGTCAGACATGAGTGAGAGAGGAGCACAGTCTAGCCCTGGCCCTAGTGTAGCTCCAGGGCGGCGGCCACAGCTGCAACAGTTGCTTCCAGAGCTCTCAGCCCACAGAGGGTGGGGGGATCGAGTGGCTATTCAGAGGGGGATTGCAAGGATCTCTTTAATGGCCCTGAAGCAGGACTCTCTTGCTTTGTCCATGCTTGGACCTGGGTTGAAGTCCTGCAGCAAGGAGGAGTGCTGGTGTGGCAGAGCTTGTGGCAGGGTGGAAAGGGAATCCTTCACACAGTTCCAAAGCAGAAAAGAGTGCTTGTGGTCACTCATAGACCAGAGCATAGGCCAGGAAAGGAGTAAACATCTTGCCCCTTATCATACCACCTTGGAAGAAATGAAAATTTACAGGTCCCTAGAAGTATCTCTAAAAGCAGTTACACAAAACCCCTGAAGCTTGGGACAGTACACCTTCCACACTGAAAGCAAAGCCCTACTTTAACAAAGCATTTAAGAGTCAAGTAATTGACTGGGAATATGAACAAACAGTGGAAAAAAACCTAGGTCCTCTTTAATCTTGTCTCTGACACTGATGACCTGTGTGACCTTGAGTATGTCACACTTAGCCTCCCTGGGCCTCAGTTTCCCCATTTATAAAATGAGAGATTGGAACCAGACTCTCTCTGAGATTCCTCCCAGCTCTGGATCTATGATTCTCTGAACATCTGCTTTAGAACTTTTCAAAACCTCTTCAGAATTAATTCATCTATCACACTTACTGGGCTTCTGGCTCTTTCAGCCCAGTCTTTATTGTACCAAAATGCTGATTATTGCCAATGGGAGACGGTGAACTGCTGTTCTTGATTTCTGCAGAAGACAAAGCAAGAGGGAACTATATTTTGCATGACCTATTCTAGGAGCTGAGGAAGATACAAAGATGAGTTGTTGTCCCTCTCCTCAAGATGTTTCCAATTTTATAGAGGCCGTACTTTGCTTAAGACAGAGATAGAAAAAATCTATCAACTACCAAAATCCCTAGCCCTTCCTTCCTGGTCAGTATCCATCCATTAGTAAGCTATCTGTAGTTCTGGAAGACTGTAGGCTCCATAAAATTTCCAAGAATGTCTTATTAAGCATTATATTTCTCATAATGCTATACACAAGGAAGGTTCTCAATGAGTGATTACTGAATTGAATTTGCAGGAGACATCAATCACTGGTGAAATATAGTGCTTTGGGGCAATTTACATTTTCATTCTTTCCTTAGCCCAAAGCTCCAATAATTATTGGTATGGCCAATAAATTTTAGTCACTGGATCAGAATGAGTTTATATGATGTCAAAGTTCCTTCCTTTTATACATTTTATCTACACTCCTGTTTGCCTCTGGGGTAATAAAGTGAGATTTCTACCATGAGACCAAGGACCAAAGCTGTAACTAGGGAATGGTAAGTTTCCCTACTATAGCAACTGGCCCCTTTTCACTCTTGTAGTAAAACTACTCTATTTTTCCAGGAATATGAAACAGTTCTTTGAACAGCTGTTGCTAAATTCTAGAGCAGTTGCTAACCTAGTAGGTCCTATTGTTCAAGGCACACCCGACCCCTAGTGGCTACCAATTGCTGGACCAAATGACCTGATTCACAGTTCCAACAGTGCCTGTTTTCCCACAGCCTTTCCATCATTTGCCATTTTCCTTTTTGGCCAATTTTGACAACTTTAGAAGTGTAAGGTAGAACCTCTGAGTTGCTCTAATATATATTTTTCTAATTATTAGTGATTTGTAGAATTTTTTTATATGTGGCTATTAATAGGTTGGATTTCTTCCCTTGAAAACTACTTGTTCGTATTCTTTGGACATTTATCTTTTGGAGAATGGGTCTTGTTCTTATAAATTTGAATTTGTTCCTTATATATCTTAGAAATCAGACTTTTATCAGAGAAATTTACCGCAAAGATTCCCCCCTCCCCCAAGTTAATGGTTTCTTTTCTAATCTTAGCTGCATTGGTTTTCTTTGTGCAAAAGCTTTTTCATTTTATGTAATTAATATTTTCCTTATCTTCGGTGATCCACTCTATCCCTGATTTGGTCATACATTCTTCTTCCATTCACAGATTTGAAATGAAATTTCTTCCTTCCTCTTCTAATTTGTTTCTGACATGGCCTTCTATATCTAAGTCATATGTCCATTTGGAGCTTATCTTGGTAGAGGGTTAGGTACTGGTTTAGCCTAATTTCTTAATTGAAAAATTTTAATTAAAAAAAAAATACCGAGACCATAACAAGGATTAGCAAAGCAATGTGGTCAAAGTTATTTCACAGTACTCTTCAAATCCCTACTTCCAGACAACAACTCAGAGTTAGAGTAAGAAACTCAGTTTTCCTACTTGTAAAGGCTAACACTCTGGAAGCAACATGTATAGCATAGTAGAAATGGTGCTAGATTTAGAATCAGGAGACCTGAATTCAAATCTCAGCTGACACTGTGTGACCTTAGCCAAATCACCTAAACCCTGAGTCTCAGCTTTCTCATCTGTAAAATGGGAATACTAGGTGTACTATCTACCTCACATGGTTGGAGCTTTGCAAACCTTAAACTCTCACAGAAAGGTGAGCTACCTACCTCACAAAGGTGTCTCTGGGATCAAGTAAGAATGTATAGAAAGTACTTTAGAAACTTTAAGGTGTTACACAAATGTAGGCTATTATTCTTCAGTTCGAAGACCTCTTTCTCGTCCAAATTCATCCATTAATAGTAGAAGTTTAAAGTTATAAAAGACTTTTAAAGTCGTCATCCAATAACTACTTAAAAATCTACTAATACAGGGGGCAGCTAGGTGGCCCTGTGGATACAGCACCAGCCCTGGAGTCAGGACCTGAGTTCAAATCTGACCTCAGACACTTGACACTTACTAGCTGTGTGACCATGAGCAAATCACTTAACCCCAATTGCCTTGCAAAAAAGAAAAGAAAAAAAGAAAAGAAAGAAAACCTACTACTACTACTTGAAAATAAATCCCCTCAAAGCATCTTTGACAAAAAGATTATCTAGCTTCTGCCCGAGGATCTTACTGCCTCCTGAGGCAGTTTTGAATTTTAAAAAGTTTTTCCTTATAATGCACTGAAATCTTCTTCTCTAAAACCCTGCCTATATATAGGTCTTAGCTTTGCAAAGTGCAGTTCTCTCAGCATAATCCACTTCTTTATAGTATACCATTCCTTCCTTGATACTACTTTCTGATCTTCTTATTCAATTTAAAAATGAGAGGTTGAAACCTCAAGAAGTCTTGAAACATAACTTTAAAAAAAATTTCATTTTTTTAAAAATCCTTTAAGTTATAGGAAAGTGCCATATTAGAGGTAGGTCTTGAATCCAAGTCTTTCTGGACTTGAGGACTTTGTCTACTACAGCACCTCTGACATCTGCTGGCTGTGTGACTCTGGGCAAGTTACTTAACTTTTAAATGTTCTAGTAATTCTCTAATATTCTAAGTTAGAGAGAAGGTGTCATCCTATGAGGTAGTATCCTCGTTTGGAGTTCCCTGTGTAAGGCCAGTCACTGTCCCCTAATGTATTAATTCTATGTTATAGTTACACTCTGAAGTATTTATATCACTGTGAAAGGGAACTCCAAGAGGAAAGAGACTATGTCTTTTCTGAATAACAAAATTAATATGCACACGTTAAATTATGATATTCGGCTGTATAGTCTTCGAGACTCTAAAACAAAGGAATGGTGGTTTCAGGTCTTCCCTAATGGAAAGGCATGGAAATGTGGTGAGGTGTCTTGCGTAGTGGAAAAAGCACTCGAGTTGGAGTTGGGAAAACCCAGTTTGAGTCCTGGCTCCAACATGTGTTATCCTGGTAAGTCTTCTTAACTCTTTCAAGTCCCAGCTTCCTCCTTTACATATCAAACAGTCATAATGATAGCTACACTTGTGATGAGGAATGCATATTGCTTTTCAATAGGTGAGAGGCCAAAGGGATAGATTCAGGGGTGCTCCTTATTATAAAAGCAGGAAGGGAAGTTACAGAACAGCCTCCTATAGAAGGCAGGAAAGCCCTAAGTTTGTGAGAAGCTCAACATCGGAACAATTCTCTTGAAGCATTTTTTTTAATTGCACATCACATAAAATTCAAACTGTGTTATTTACAAAATAGACAAAAACATTAATACTGATCACAGGCTTCAAATCTTTCCTTCTTTTCCAATCTACTTCACTACATTTTTGCCCCACTGTTCCACAGCTCATAAAAAACCCTAACATTTGGTCTCTTACAGGGGTTGATTCCATGAAGTCCTCAATGGCTGGCTGCTCAGCACTGCCTGTCTGCCATTAACACGGAGTCCTCACGTGCACAACCATGTGACCTGGGGAAAGGCAGTACAAGGAGGCATCCCAAACCAATTCCAATGATAGCTGCCAAGGAAACACGTAAGAAACAGGATACCTCCACTGAGAATACAGATGACCTGAGGCATGACCCACAATGGAAGAAGAAGGAAGGACAATGAAGGAAGAAGACAGAAGAAAAAACTCTTTTAGGATGTGAGCAAAGATACCTGTACCCAAGAATGACCTTCAGGAATGGAAAGAATAGGGAACTGGGGACAAAAAGTTGCTAAAACACAAGAACAAAAGGATAATTCTCTTCATCATGAGAAGGGATAAAACTCTTAAGATCAGTGCAAATCATCACATAACACTGTGGACAGAACTGAAGCCTAAGATGGGAAGGGACAAGGCCTAGATCTGGAACACACAGGTTGATTTTTCTGACTAAAGTGTTAAACCTGAACCTCTGGCAATTCCATTCCTAAATGCAGAAAATGCCCAGAAGTTGGAGGCAAAATTTGAACGTAGGAATGAGATAGAAGATTAAGAAGAGAGAGGACTGGGTAAAAGCAGTAGTGCTAAAGACAAAGTTACAGCAAAATGAGAAGAGTTTTCAGTAAAAGAGAACAGCAAAGAACCCAAAAGGTAAGAGTTAGAAGGAAAAGAAAAGGATGAAACCCAAGAGAAGCAACAGATCATCCTGGGCCTTGCACTGGCTCCTTATTTTTTCCTTTTATTTTCTTTATCTTTCCTTCTTTTTTTTTTAAACATGGGACACAATATAAAGAACTGAATTTCAACATTTGGGTTGCTTTTCTAAGCTTGTGACATTTTGAAGACATCTTCAGCAAATCCATTTCCCACTCATAAAAATGTACTGTGCAAACTTTCTTTTCTATAGTGGAAATATTTATGACAGTCTATCCAAAACAGGAAACATTTGAAAGCTTTAAAAAAAAAAAGGAGACCTCTAGAGACAAGGCAAACATCCTGGAAGACAGATGGTCAAGGCAGGCTAACATCTAAAAATGCCCTTTCTTTGAAAAATACGAGTGAGAGGAGAAGGTACTAAGTACTGCATTAGAGGAAGAGTCAATTTGGGAGGAGCGCTTCAAACATGTGGCTTCGTGGTGACCAAAGATTTCAGTCCTCCTCTCTGCACGGAGGGTGACAGGGGAGACACGTACACAGAGATCAAGGCTGGACACTACAGGAAAGAGGGGTGTCTCAATCTCCTCACCTCTGTGACTACCTCTGACTTGCTCCATGGCTGCTTACAACGCATGGGAAATAATAAAAGGCTCTTCTTAGATTCAAATAAATTATATGTTAGAGAGAAACCCAGAAGTCCAAGTGTGCAATATCTCCTTTTGCCTGTGGTAAAATGCTGAATGTAACTTTCTGGTCTGCACTTTTTTAGGTAAATCTCCAAGTGAGCTGAAAATTCAGGTCAGATAGCTTTTAGAGAAATTTCACACAAACAAAACAATCTTGAGCCATGGGAATCTAGAAGTACAGTGGGATGTCTAGCTTTTCCTGCTGTTTGACTGTTTGTGGGCAGATGACCTGGGGCAGATAAGCAACTCCCCAAGCAAGCTCTGACAAGAGACCCAGATCCTGAGGGTTACAAGAGCTCCAGGCTGGTGATGGGCAAATGCAGAAGAGAAAGGGATGGCCCCTATCAATAGCATTTCCCCCTTTTTTTGCCACCTGGTGGCAGTTTCTTCTTTAATTTTTCCTTTTTGGCTCCAGCTGTGGTGAAAGTAATACAATGAGCATCCAGAAAGTCTAACAGCTTTCCCATGGCAAACTTGATGCCATTCTGCCTCAGCTCTGCTTGCAGGTCAGCAAGCTCAAAGGGCTGGTAAAGGAGAATCTTCTGGTAAAGTGCTGGACGGGATCGGATGTAGCGTCTGGCTGCCTCCTCTCTGTCGGCATCCTGGGCAGCAGCCTGGGAAGCAGTGATCTCCTCCTCTTCTTCCCCTTCAGATTCAAAGACTGTTTCAAACTCGCTGGCAATAGAACTGAAAAGAAAAAGAGACAAATCTAGGTGAAGAGTTCTCCCCCGCGCCTCTTAGAGGCAGTAAGAGCCAGCAAATGGCAGAGAAACTCATGGCAGACGTACCCCAGGTGGCAGTCCCCACTAGCGGCTGACGTGCCAACACCTCCACTGTATTTCATCCTTGGCAGTCTAAAGTGTTCTGTAAACTACTGCTCTTCCATAATGCAAAGCAGCATGGCCCAGTGGGATGAACACAGGCCAAGAGACCTGGATTCAAGTTCCAGATCTGCCATTTGCTGCCACGTGACCATGAGCAAGTCACTTGATCTATAGATGTCAGCTTCCTCATCTGTCAAATAAAAGAGCTGGACTGGAGGACTTCTAAAATCAGCTCTAATAGTCTGTGCTTTATCTGCTTATTCTATGTTCCCCATATCATCTTTTAGCCTCACAATGTGGGTTTCATATTAACTTACAAAATCTTGACTAGGGTCACTTTCAATCACAAAGGACTAAAGATCATGGATGCTGCTTGACAGGGGCACAGCCACGTGATGGGCATCATCACAATCTAGGAGGCCTTTGGGATTCTAGCAATTAAATCAGCTGGCATCCAGAAGGTGAGATGGGTCAGGTTCAGAAAGAAAAATGCAAGACATCTGCAGGTAGCTTCGTCAATACATTAGGGGAGGGGTTTTCAAAGGGAGGTCTTGGGATTCCTGGAGCTCCCCAAGACTCTTTCAGGAAGTTGGTGAGGTCAAAACTATTTTCATAATAATAATAAAATTATTTTAATTTCTAATACAATAAATACTGATTGAAATGACCCACATAAAGAAAGGTTCTTTGAGCAGTCCTCAATCATTTTTAAGAGCATAAACGGGTCCTGAGACCAAAAAGTTTGAGAAATGCTGCACAAGGATATGGTATTCTTGGCTCCTAGGACCAAAATTCTGCTTATGTGAGTTACCAACTACTCAAAATCTCTTCAGGTTTCAGACACCTTTAAATTTAGAAAGCAAGTCAGGGGCTCCGAGTGGATCAGACAAAAAACTGTACTTAGTCACTCCTACCTTGGGCTGTTCAGTTCACTGCAATAAGGATACCACTACCAATCCTGCTCTTTATCCATTACCTTTGTGAACCAAAGGAGTTTTCACTTTCATCTGTAGAAGAAGCGATGGATTTCTGAGACATTGAGAGCTGATTATCACTGGCAGAGCCTGAGTGCACATCTTCAGCTGGTGGTTGTGTTAGTGTTAGGGCGGCTTTACGTGCCTGCTTCCTTCTGCTGTGGGCTTTAGTGAGATTCTTTAGCTTTCGGTGACTGATGGTGGATAAGTTCTCTGAAACTTCTGACTGACCACTCTCCACACTAGGCAGGGCACAACTGGAGGAAGCTGGTGGTAACTCATTCACTGCTCCTGAAGTCTTGACTTGAGAAGCCGTTTGAGTTAGGCAGCAAGGCTCCGCCATCATTCTAGGGGATGTCTGCAAAGCCTGGATTTCATCCTCAGAGTCAGATGGCAAGATCTGGTGGGTGTACTGGAAAATCTCCTTCAGCTTCAGTACCATCTGGCGTTTGGGGAGAGGACGGACTCCAAATCTAAATTGGGAAATAGGTGATTTTTTAAGTCCTTAACCACATTGCTTGTATATACTTTACACTGTTTTGCTTACTTGTCAGCAAACAAGACACAATTATTAGTAAATGTTAATGGCTGTTGGCAAAGCCAACATGCTTGCATTCTATGACTGTCAAAAGTTAATGTCTAAGTACACTCTGTAAAATCCCCACATTGCAATAACAGTAAATCATGGCTTTTGAGGGTGGACCTGATTTCTGGAAACATCAAAAACACATTAAGTTAAGTCTGATGAATAAGGATGGGACAGTCAGGCTTAGAAAAAAAAAAGCCTAGGATTAGAAATGGTATATGACTATTAAGTAGTAAGATTGAGTTTCAAGTGTTCCAAATCTTGAAGAGGAGTTCTGGAGCGCTAGTGGCACTATTGAAATAAATGTGTAGAACACCAAAGTGACTACTTTGAACGAGAACAACACTTATTTGGATATGTAGACAAAGAACCTTTTCAGTTACCAAGCATGACTCTGATAAATCAATTCACCAAAATTCTATTATCCTAAGATTCTAAAAACTTGGATTCAGTTAAAAATTTTTATTCTGGGAAAACATTAACCAAAGGAAAGCTTGCTAAAAAAAGAATGTGCAAGTCACTCATACTTGTGAAACAGAAGCACATTATCTTTTACTTCTGAGGCAATAACCACAACAAACTAAGGAATTTTTAATTAAAATAAATAAATCATTAAAACTGACAAATTATAAATATGTCTCTAAGATAGAATGGGTAGTCATTTTGATGTGATATATTTGCTATGTAAAATGAAGGCATGATCTAAGGGTGGGAGGGCTCTTACAATAGGTCCCCTTCCACAGACTTGAAATTCCCCATGCTCATGATGATTCTTTCTTACTCTCACAGAAAGTGGGTTAGACCTCCAGACTTTTCAGGAATTGCAGGCAAAATCTGGGATAAGTCTGTGGGACCACCCTAGCATTAAGGAAATCAGGAGCTCAGCTGGGGATGGTACAAGAGGCTTCAAGTCTTCAGCAGAGCCTCTTAAGAGTCAGAAGTCTGAGTCTATCCACAAAGAAGATTCCTCTAAGACTAGAAGGAATATGATGAACTTTTTAGAGAAGAATCCAAGGTATCGTGCTTAACCCTAATCATGAGTAAACAAGTAAAATGGAAAACACCAACCTATTCAATTCTTTCTTCAGTTCTGGTGTTTCCATGATAGAATAACTTGGCATTGGAGTTATAGGAACTTTGGGGGGTCTATTAGTCTTCCGATCAACAGCTTCTGTGGGAGAATAAAACAAATACAAACATTAGTAAAATGGTTGGGATAAGGGGTACTTGATGTGATGGCACTGCCTGGCATCTTTTAATTTCATTGACATGAGTTTCTAAGCTCTGTTTCTTAGCCTTCTTTATACTGAAGACAATGCAACCATCATTTTATTATATTAAAGCAGTCATTTCCAACCTCTTTGGAATTGTGACAACCTATCAATGTTTAATTATGTTATACCACCACTCTCCTAAAAAGCATTAAAAGGTACACTCTATGTGCATCATGTACATGTAATATTGATCTGACATACTGACAACACCCTCCTTAAAATCACTGACAAATGTTGGGATCTCTCAAAGCCAAATTCAGGACTTATTGTATTAAGGAGAAAATAGAACAATTAGAAGGAACTTTTAAGAGAGATCATGATTTACTGCAATCACTCCACACACACTTTTGGAGGGGTAGTCTTATGAAAGTCACACTCCAGGGGAAAGAGCAATGAATTTGGAGTCAGAGGTTCTAAATTTGGCTCTGCCACCCATTAGTTGTGTGACTCTGGATAAGTCACTTAATCTCTCTGGGTCTCAATTTCCTCATCTGTAAAATCAGGGGCTTAGACTAGGTGACCTCTAAGGTCCTTCCAGTACTTAACCCTACATGTCTCTATTTTCAACATGCTTTTACTCAGCATAAAGGAAACCATACAATAATGCTGTAAAATGGTATTATTGAAACCTGTGTCTCAAAGGACACTGGTGACCCAATCAACAAACCCAAAGGTCTTTTCCTCAGTTCTCATCCAAGTTCCTCAAGGATAGAAAGTTTCATTTTTCTCTGTAGCCCCAAGACTTAGCACAGGATTTGGCACAAGGAAGACATTTAACAAAAGCTTGTTGATAGACTGCTTGACTGTCCCCTCTATAGCGCTTGACACTATTGGGAACATGGTTGAGTGGAGAATGTTGGGCTTGGAGTCAGGAGACCCGGGATCCTGTTCCAGCTCCAATATTTGCTAGCTTATTGCCCATTATCATTTAACCTCTCTGAACCTTGGTTTTCTCATCTGTAAAATGGGGATAATGACACTTGCAATATCACATAACTGTTAAAGGTATTTTGTAAACTCAACATGCTATATACATGTGACATTATTACTGAAAACACTTCCTTTGGCTTTCATAGCACTATACTATATTGGGGAAGGGGTTTTTCTCTCCATTTTTTCTCTCTCTTCCTACTCCTCCCTTTTGCTACCCACTAAATGTTAGCATTCCACAAAGTTCTGTCTACGAGCTTCCTTTCTCTTTACATTCTCTTCATCATCTGACATCCACAACTTCAACTAGCTCATAATGGAGATGGTAATCAAATCTATATTTCTCCAAGACATAGACAATAGAAATATGAAACCAAAAGTCATTCACCTATAGCGAAGTAATCAAAGGATATAAGTAAACAATTCTCAAAAGAAGAATTGCAATGTATTACCAATTATATGAATGTTCCAAATAATTATAAGAGAACTGTAAATCAAACAACTCTGAACTTTTACCTCACAACCAGCAAATTGGCAAAGATCATAAAAGAAGGGAATAGTCATTGTTAGAAGAGTTGTGGGGACCAATACATGACTGGTGGACTGTGAAATGGTGCAACTATTCTGGAAAGCAATTATGAATTACGGAAATAAAGTTACTAAAATGTCTGTATCTTTTGACCCAGAAATTCTACTGCTAGTCATGGACCTCAAGAAGACCATTAGCAAAAAGAAAGAATCCATATACACCAAAAGATTTATCACACTTTTTGTGGCAGCAAAGACTAGAAACTAAATAAAAGTTCATTGATTGGGGAATGGTTAAACAAATTGCAACACACTACTGTAATGGAATATTACTGCTCTTTAAGAAACAATGAATATGGTGAACAGAGAAGCATGGAAAGACTTACATGACTTAAAAAGTGAAGGAAGCCGAACCAGGAAAGCAATATAGATGATAAGTACAACAATGGAAATGGAAATAACCACCACCACGAGCAATTCAAATTGAAAGCTTCAAAATTATAAAGAACATAGCTGTGTGACCCTGGGTAAGTCACTTAACCCTGACTGCCTAGCCAAAAAAAGAATTTTTTTTTTATAAAGAACAAGCTTGGTTCCAAAGAATAGATGTGAGAAGACATCTCCCTGGAGAGGTCAGGGTCCATGGTTATGGAACTTTGCATAGTATGTCCAATTTGTTGAGCAGTCTTACTGACTTTTTTTTTCCCCCTCTTCTCTTAGAAAAATTCATTGTTATAATGGATGGCTTTCTGGAAGGAAGAGAGAGGTAGAGAAAATCTAGGTGATGTAAAAATAAAAAACATCAATAAAAATCTATTTTTTTTAAAAAACCTCTATTTCTAGTTTCAACTTCTTTCCTGAGATCTACTTCCAAATTTCCATATTCTACATTTCCACTTCTAACTCTACTCCCTTGGTCATTCCCTATTTTCTCATACCATTACCCCTGTTCTAGATTGACCTCATCCTGTTCATGCTTTGTCCCTATGAAGCAGTCATTTTAACAATGCATGGTCTTCTACCCTTGAACCCACTCTGTTAATCCCCATCCCAGGGGTAACACCTACCATCTTCCTTCTCAGCTCCTACTTTTGAGCCACTGAACAATGCTGGAAAAAGTAAAAAACCCAAGCTAATTTGGGCCACTATAAACATGCACTAAACCCAACTGGTAGCACACCACTACAAAGCAATTCTTTTATGGCTTTGGCTCACTTCCTCTCACTGTCTTCACAGCAGCCATTTCAAACTGTCTCCACTAATACCCCTTAATTCTGCTGTTTTTAGTAGGTGGCTTTGCTCCCTATTTTTAGCTACACATTTACACAGTATTTTAGAGGTTATCAAACTCTTTTCCTACAGCTATTCTTTGTGGTGGGAAGTGTGAATATTATCCCCATTTTGCTGATAAGCAAATAAAGGCTCAAGGGTCATGTGGTAACTTGCCCAGGTTAATAAAATAGTAAGAGAAGCAAGGTTTCAACCAATGTCCCTCCTACCTCCAAGTCCCACATGCCTTTCAATAAATCACACTGCCCTTCTAGCTAATCTCTGTATTTGTGCTTTTAATCCTTTCATATTGCCTATCCTAAAAAAGGGGGGGGGGGAGCCTTCTCATTCCCTATAGGATAAAATTAAAACTCCTTAATCTAGCATTCAAAATCTCCAAATTACCTTTCCTGCCTTATTTTACTCTGTTCCTCTCTTTACATACGCTACATTCTAGGACTAAAGGTTGGTCTCTGATCTCATCCTGTCCTTTCCTATAACCATGTATTTGTCAGGATATAACAAATTTCTTCTACATCTGTGCCCATTGAAATCCTTCTCATGCTTCACTGCTTTGTTCAATGAAGCTTCCTCTGAGGCCTCAGCTGAAGGTGATCTCTCTTCTCAAACTTCTCAGCAATCTAGACTGCTCCTTTGCAATTAATACCCATCAGGAGGTAGCATGATGCACTTTGGTTCAGATTCCAATGGTGATACTCCCATTGTGACCTTTGGCCAGTCATCTCACCTGTTTGGGTTTCAGCTCCCTCACAGTAAGATGAGGAGTCTGGATTAACACTATAACTACTAAGGAAACCAAAAGACAAAAGGAAAGTAAAATGAAGCTGAATGGGAGGAAGGCTTATGGTTCTCCCTTGCATATGCAGATAAAGATGTTGAAGTTGGTTTTATCTAACAAGGAAGATAATTTCATGGGATGGTGTGTCATCTCATATTGTATTACTCATACAATAAGCCATTTGCAAAAAGTACAATGGAAAGACCACAGTCTCTGGAACTAGAGGGCCTACCTTCTACAAAAAGCCTTTCCTAACCCCTCTTAATTCCAGTGCTTTTCTTCTTTTAATTATTTCCTATTTACCCTGTATAAATCTTGCTTTGTATATATTTGTTTGCATGTTGTCTCCATTGGATTGTAAGCTCAACGAAGTCAGGGACTATCTCTGGCCTCTTTTTATATCCTAGTACAATACTTAGCACAGTGCCTGGCACATAGTAGGTGTTTAATTTACTGATTAATTGACTAGTTGATTTCTGAGGTTCCTTCAAGCTCTCAATCAATGATCCCACAGTCATAGAATCATACTTGTTTATGCAGGTGTTACTTCCTATTAGATTACAGAGTCCTTAAAAAAAAAAAAAGGTAAGTTTCTTGAGGGCAAAGACTGTGTTCTTTTTCATTTATATTCCACTGTCTAGCACAATGGTTTGTACATGATAGGTTCTTATTAATATTTACTGAATTGAAATGAATGTCCAAATCAGTATCATCTCTCTCCAGGTCCCATTCCCAACCTGACTCTTCCTGAGCCTTCAGGTAAAGAATCTCTTTTTATTTCAGTGAAAGTATTTAATATTAAACTTTTTCAAATAGATCTTTCTATTCTTCCTAGTGTATCAGGGAAGTTTACCCCATTACTCACTAATGGCAGTCACCTAGGCTTGAAATCTTGACTTAGGTTTCATTCCTCACTCTCATTTACTTACATCCAGTCACTAAGTCTAATCAATTCTGCTTTTGCCACCTCTCATGTCCAGCTCTTCTTTTCACATGGCCAGGAGCCCAAGTTGGACTATTGCAAAAAAAAAAAAACTTTCCTAATCCGTCTTCCTTTTCCCCTGCCAATCCATTTTATACATGGCGGAAGGTTAATTTTCCTACAGGATAGCTCTGATAATGTCACTTCTTTGCTGAAAGACTGGCTCCCTACTGACTTTTGAATAAAGTCTAAACTCTTTATTAGGGCAGCAATTAGACTTGATTTCCTAACAATCCCTCCATTGCTTCTATTATTATGCCTTCGTTCACTTAGGATTGTTTTTGTCCATTTCCTACTGGGAAATTAGGCTTCATCTAGTTTTATGGTTTGTACAATGCCACATGGAGCCAAACAGGGATTAAAAATGCATTATTAACTATCTACTTATTTGACAGAAAGCAATGAGAACAAATGACCTACAAAGTAGGAGATACACAGTGGCAACTCTATCCTGTCCCAACCCTTTCTGAGATTACTGTGAGGTCCAAAGATGAACTTAAAGGCAAGTGAGTTCTGAAGCATTACTGGGACTCAATATTCATTCTGGTATTTAAATTACAAACATAATTCCCAAAGGTTACTTACTTGGAGTCTTTAACACCTCTAATTCTTGAGTTACTTTTTCATCTGACAATCTTTTAGCCAAAGGAAGAATTTCTGTAGACTTTTGTTCTCCATCCCAATCATCCCACAGAGTTGAATTCAAATAGCTTAGATTACTGTTTCCAGGTGAGCCTGCACATAAAGATGTCTTTTCATTACAGTGTAAAGATCTTCTTTTGTCAACAGGACTTCCATAAACAGGAGCACTGCTCATTCTACTCGGGGTTGCAGGGGAGTTTCTCTCCCTGTTATTCATAGTTTCACATACTTTATTTGGACTATTAGCACTTAGGTGGCCAGTCCTCTCTAAGTTCAAGTTATCAATTGGAATTGGTGAGAGAGGTTCAATATTCCAGTAGTCGTCATCAACAGGAATTGGGGGGTCACTGTTTAGCAGTAAGCTGCTACTCAGAGGGCAGGGATCGAGATCTTGCTCTTCCTCACTATCCACCACTTCTACCACTTCACTACACACATTTTGGATCAGCACAGGTTTGTCATCAGCAGAAGAAAGCCTTGTGTGTGATGATGGGTTTTCCAGAGACTGTTTAATTAAGTCAGCAGGCTCAGGTGAAAGCTGAATTGGGACTACTGTGGAAAGGTTCTTATTAACCTTTGAATATTGAATGGCAGGGCTTCTGTAAGAGTATCTCTCACTGACTGAGGTTTCTGAGAGTGATTTGGTTTCTGAAGTAATGGGTACCAGATGAGATGATGGCTGGGGCACATTTATAGATACTTCATTTGTTATTTCGTTAGCATTTTTATTTTCTACTAGTACTTTAGTCTTGCACTGTAAAACTTTATCCTGTAAACTGGAAACACGTGGCCTAGCAATGATGCTTGTGACTCGCATCTGGGATGAGCAATCACGGCTTTTGTTAGTAAGGGGAGTGGCTGGAACCAGCCATGAAGTATCTGTGCTACTGCTTTCCTCTCTGCTGTTGTCATGTTTGGATATCAGTCTAAAATCTTCATCCAAACAGCTATTGCCCTTTCTGCGTGACTGCATCTCAGTCAGAACATCTGTACCCCTATCTCTATGTACCCCAACTTCTGTGGCTATTGGGTTTTGAGAATACATTTGGTCACTATCAATATCAATAATCAGAAAAGGTTTGGATGATTTGGGACTATTCTTCACGTCCTCGCCTTTACCTACAAGGGTTCTTGGTGTTTTTCTTTCTCCACAGAGACTGTCAGAAACTGGTTTCATTTTGGTCTGTTCTAGCTCCATTTCTTCATCTGAATCCAACAAAAGGATAATATCATCATCTTTGTTCACTTGTGATGAAGAATTCTGAGATCTGATATTCAACTGGGACAGCCTTTGGCAAGATTTTGGTTTAGTTAGGTCAATTGACGGAGGTTTAACTGGAGAAATCAGGGCTGCTGTTTTTTTATGGTTCGCAATATAATTACACTCACTGTTGTCCTTGCAGGCTGGGTCTTCATACAAAGTGTGGATATCACTGTTTTTCTTTTGCTGTTCTGCTAAAACTGGAGGAGAAACTTTGTTGGAAAACTTCCTTTTTAACTGAGGAGATAATGGGGATGAATCATGTCTACACTGAGGAAAGATTTTTGAACTGGAAGGACTTTGACAGTGGATGTGTGACAGAGGGAAGTCTGGCTGCAATGGAGGTGTTTGGCAAAGAACAGGTGAACTAGAAACTTCTTTTCTCGGGAAATTCTCGTTTTGTTTCTTTGGATTGCAGTTTACTTGGGAAGGCTCATAATACTCTTCTTGAGTCACTGAAAAAAGTTGATCACAGCTCTTATCAAGATCAAAATCATGAAGTGAATCTAGAAATGTGAGTTTTTCTCTTAGACTATCTCCTTTGCCTTCTACCAAAAGATCAGAAGTACTAGAGTGAGTACCACCTTTAGCTGACTTTGGTGAACAATCTTTTTCAGAAGACTCTGTACCACTTTCATCATCTGGAATCTCTTCTTGGCATGGCACAGGAGTGAAATGTTTAATATTTACATTGCTGCTTACACTTGGCTCTTGACCTTTCACTTGCTCAGAAGAGTCTATTTTATATGTATTGTCCAGCTGTTTTTTAAATTTGACATTTGTTGGTAGACATCCAAATACTGGAATTTCCACCTCTGGCTGGCCAGCTAGTGAATCTTCCTTTGTCTGACACTTCCCTTGGAGCATCTTTCGCTGAGTAGCGGCAAACTCATAAATTTCTTCCATTTCCTCTTCATTTACTTTCTCTCTGTCATCTTCTTCCTGGTCTTCTGGCTTAAGTAAAAACTCTGATTCCTTATCTTCATCTACCCACATTGACCTCAATAATTCTTGGAAATTTTCTGCTCTACTTTCACAATCCTCTTCTTCTTTCCCTACCAAAAACACATCATCTTCTGATTTAATATCAGTAGCCTCTAGGCCACTTTCACATAGATCAACAAGTTCCTTCACTCCAAACCTGCAGAAATGAAATGAAAAAGCATCAATCTTCCTTTCACAGAAGCCATGTTTCTCTCATTCAAGGATGTCAGAGCCAGAACTGGAATTCATACTTGAGAAGAAAGGAAGGCTGAAGTGGGAATAATCAATATCAAAAAAAAAAAAAAAAAAAATCATATTTTTATCCTTTCCTCCATCCTTCTATGACAAGGACACTCTTCCCCTGAAGTTTGCCTGATCATTAGGAAGTTCTAATAAGAGGCTCATAACCAATTGCTCAAAGTGTCTCCAGGCTATGTGGTTTATTTATTTATTTATTTATTTTTTCTTCAAGGTGATCAGGGTTAAATGACTTGGGTCAGATAGCTAGGAAGTGGCAAGTGTCTGAGGTAGGATTTGAACTCAGGTCCTCCCGATTCCAGGGCCAATGCTCTATCAACTGCACCACCTACTGCCCCTATGTGGTTTAAATTATACAGATTAATACTTAGAGCATTCAAAACTATGCAGACTAAACTGCCCCTAGATTTCTCAAGAAGGATACTCTTTATAGGGTAGATGTAATACAGACTATAATCTATATTTTACTCTGAACAGGAAGCTGAAAGCTACATGGCCCTGCCAGATACATGTCGCAGCCTTAAACTTTGGCCTGAGTAACATAAGAGAATATGTTACTATAAGTAACTAGCAAATTCCACCTTAAGTATTCGACTCCTGCAAAGTCATCATTGGTGATAAATTTCTGGCTAATAATGATAACTAATATTAATAGGGAGAAGATAAAAGATAAGGGAGAAGAAAGGAAGGAGGAATGGAGGAAAGGAATAAGCATTTATATAGTGTCTATGCTAAGCACTTTTTATAAATACTATCTTATCTGAGGGGGGCAACTAGGTGGTGTAGTGAATAGAGCAACAGGCCTGGAGTCAGGAAGACCTGAGTTCAAATCTGGCCTCAGACACTTATTAGCTATGTTAATCTGGGCAAGTCACTTAACCCTGTTTGCCTCAGTTTCCTCACTGTAAAATGAGCTGGAGAAGAAAATGGCAAACCACTCCAGTATCTTTGCCAAGAAAACCCCAACTGGGGTCACGAAGAGTTGGACACAACCACTGAATGACAAAAAAACTAATTTGATCCTGACAAAAATCCTACAAGGTAGATATTATTATTCCTATTTTACAGTTGAGGAAACTGAAGCAAACAAAGGTTAAGTGACTCGCCAAAGGTCACACAGCTAGTAAGTATCTTTGGCTAGATTTGAACTCAGATCTTCCTGAGTCCAGGCTCAGCCCTCTATCTACTGAGTCACCCAGTTGCTTCAGGAATCCTAAGAGAATACTCAAAAGTCTGAAAAGCACTTTGCACACTTTCTGTCATGTGTCCTTCTCAAGAATGCAGTCAGGTAGGCTCGATGGATATTATCCCCATTTACAGACGAGTACCCTGAGGCTAAGAAAGGTTGAGTAACTTGCCCATAGTCACATAGCTCCAAAGTGCCAGAGTTAGGATTTAAACCCTGGTATCTACTACCTCTGAATCCAGCACTATTTCCACAATACCACATTAACTCTCCAATGTATGACAATGCTCAATATGCATGATAAAAACTAATTTGGAAAATTAGTTTCAATTGTTGTTAAGTAAGCAAAAAGCAGCATAGCAACCTGATGGCTAGTGACTGCAAGTCCGCGAGCATATGGGAAGGAATATTAGTATCAGCTGTGTACAGGTACTGTAGAAACATGTGAGCTGTCTCTGTGCTCACTTCATTCAAAAGGACTCTTCGTGTTCTCAAACTCCCGTCTTCCACTACAAAAAAACCTTCACTGTGTACCTGAGAAGGAAAGAAAACAAATTTTTTAAAGTTTCTTATCAATAAAGACCTAATTACAGAAGGAGATACAGTGGATATTGGCCACACAGATACTAGAACTAGTCTTATAAATTACCCCAAATACTAAGGAAAGTGATAAGTAATTTGTTTTGCCAGTCAAATCTCTAGGATAGTAGAATCTTGGCCTAGTCTTATTTTCTTTTGCTAACCATCCAATATTCCTACACCCTCAATCCATGAAGAACTCTGCAATTTGCTGTGATGGGGGATAAAGTCAATCCCTAGAATTTTGCTACATTGAGATAAAATTCCTTGTCAGTCCAATGTCAGAAGAGCAGAATTCCTAAGGTCAAGTTCTTCAGTTACTCAAACCTACTTTTCTTCTCACAAATACATAAAAACTTAAATGCCAGAATTATATTATGGGGAAAAGAAACATTTCTGGGAAAAACTGATAACTCTAAGATCCCCTAGTCCTAATCTAATGGCTTCCCTTGCCCTCCTATCAAACTTTTCCTCTTTGTTCCATTCTTTTCCACTGAAGAGTAAGCATTACAGCATTTCAGAAAAAAAAAAAAAGTAGAAGAGTACTGATAGTGATACTTAAAAGATGAAGAAAGAAAAGAGTACTAATGAATTGCTTGTAAAACAAATAGGAGAAAGCAAAAGGAAGTTCAGAAGACAACAAAGGAAATTAGGGCACTGTTGGAATTAACACATAAAATCTGAAATATTACCCCCCTCCCAAAAAAATAACTAAGCTTTATATAGTGGAGATTCACAGTTTCACATGCAGTACTCTTTTTTCATTCTTTAAAAAAAAAGCTTGTTGTAGCAGTTTTCCAAAGAAGAAATCAAAGCTATCAATAGTCATATGAAAAAAATGCTCTAAATAACTACTGATTAGAGAAATGCAAAATAAAACAACTGAGGTACCACTTCACACCTAACAGAGTGGCTAACATGACAGAACAAGAAAATGATAAATACTAGAGGGTATGTTGGAGTTGGGAACTGGTCTAACCATTCTGCAGAACAATTTGAAACCATGCCCAAAGGGCTATAAAACTGTGCATACTCTTTGACCCAGCAATATCACTCCTAAGTCCCAAAGAGATCAAAAAAAAGAGAAAAGGACCTTTACGCTGAAAAATTTTTATAGCAGCTCTTTTTGTGGTGACAAATAAATGAAAATTGAGGGGATGCCTATCAATTGGGGAATTACTGAAGATACTGGAGTATATGAATGTGATAAAACACTCCTATGCTATATGATGAGCAGGATGGTTTCAGAAAAACCTGGGAAGATGTATATGAATGGATAATAAGCGAAGTGAGCAGAACCAAGAGAACACTATACACCGCAAGAATATTTTAATGATAATCAGCTGTGAGACTTAGCTACTCTGACCAAGACAATGATCTTACAAAATTCCAAAGGACTCATGATGAAAAATGCTATCCATCTCTAGAAAAAAATTGATGAACTTTGAATGTCAATTTATGCATACTTTTTTCACTTACTTTACTTTTCTTGTTTTTCTGCAACATGACTAATATGGCAATGTATTTTGCATGACTTCACATGTATAAATGATATCAAATTGCTTGCCTTCTCAACAGGAGGGGAAGGGGCTATAGGGAGGGAGGGAATTGGGAGTTTAAAATTTTTTAGAAAACATGTGAAAACAAAGTATATTTTTTTAAAAGAAAGATTGTTTTGGCAGTTGCACATATCTTGTTTGTAAATAGTTGTTTGCATATTGTCTCCCCTATTAAACTATGAGCTCCTTAACAACAAAAAAAAAATGCTTGTTGTTTATGGATTTTGTATAGGGAAAAGTTCATGTGTATAAAACATTTTTATCTCATTAAAAAAATTAATCTTTTATTAATCTATCCCTCCCTCTATTCACCCCCTATTGAGATGGGGGGAAAAAACTTAAAAATACACACACATATAATTTGAAAAAAAATTTTCCATATTGGCCAGATCAAAAAACATATGTCTTTTTTTGAATTTTAAGCTATTCACCGTTCTGGTAGGAGATGAGTGACCTATTTCATCTTCATTCTTTTGAACTTGTGGCCTATAATTTCAATCAGAGTTCTAAGTATTTCAAAGTTATTTTGCTCCATAATGTCATTATCTCTATATAAATAGTTCTGGTACAGTTCAACTCCCTGTGCACGAGTTCATAAAAGTTTCCCAGATTTCCTCTGAAATTGTTCATTTTGCCATTTTTTATGGCACAGTAATATTTTATCACATTCATATCCTATAATTTGTTCCATCATTCCTCAACAGGGCATACTCTGAATGCCAATTTTTGGCTACAACAAAAAAAAGCCACTTCAAATATTTTCATATAAAATTTTATTTTCAATTCTAAACTCTCTCCCTCCCTCCTCCCCTACACACTGAAAAGGCAAGAAAAATCACATAGATCCTTTTCCTGTTTCTTCAGGGTACAAGTCTAATGGTGGTATAATTGGGTCAAAGGGTAGGCACAGTTTCATTACTTTTTTGGCATAGTTCCAAATTGCTTAATAGAATGGTTGGACCAATTCACAGATCCACCAAAAGTGGACTAGTGTACCTGTTTTTCCACAGCCTCACCAACATTTATAATTTTCCTTTTTTGGTCATTTTTGCCATTCTGATGGGTATGAGATAGAATCTCAAAATTGCTTTAATTTTAATTTCTCTAATTATTAGTGATTTAGAGCATTTATTCATATGGTTGTTGTTAACCTGAATTTCTTCCTTTGAAAATTCCCTGCTCATATCCCTTTACCTTTTGGGAGGTGGTTCTAAGATTTATAAATCTGAATTAGTTCCTTATATATCTTGGATATGAGACCTTTATAGGTGAAACTTGCTGCAAAGATTTTTTTTCCTAGTTACTTGTTTTCCTTCTAACTATATTAGATTTGTTTGTGCAAAAACTTCCAATTTTATACAATCAAAATTGTTGATTTTATCTCGTGAGATACTCTATCAGTTGTTTAGTTATGAACTCTTCCTCATCCATAAATCCAAAAGGTAATTTCTTCCTTGCTCCTCTAATTTATGTGTAACTTTTTTTATATCTAGGTAAAGCATCCATTCTGAACTTATCTTAGTATACAGGGTGGTATTGAGCCAAACTTAATTTCTGCCAGACTGCTGTCCACTTTTCTTAGCAGTCCTTCCCCAAGTAACTGAAGTCTCTGTGTTTATCAAACATCAGGCTACTGTATCTGTTTGCTCAGCATGATGGTGACCTAACTTGTTCCATTGATTGACCTCCCTTTTTAAAAAACAAGTACCAAATACTTTTAATGATTACTGCTTGGTACTACAGTTGTTAGACCCCATTCCTTCTTACTTTTTATTACCCATGAAATTCTTGATCTTTTATTCCTCCATATGAATTTCACTATTATTTTTTCTAGCTCTATCAAATATTCCTTTGGTTGATCAGTATAGCCCCGAGTAAGTAAAAGAGTACTATCAATTTTATTATATTGGCTTGACCTACCCATGAGCAGTTCAATGTTTCTCCAATTATTTAGGGTTGTCTTTATTTCTACAAGTATTTTATAGTTGGATTCATATCCTAGGTGAATCTTGAAAGGTCCATTCCCAAATATTTTATAGCCTCTGTAGTTATTTCTCTTCTTGCTAAATTTTACTTGTTAACAGAAATGCTGGTGATTTACGGAGATTTATCTTGTATCCTGCAACTTTGCTAGTTACTGTTTCAATTTTTTTTAGATGATTTCCTAGGGCTCTCTAAGGGCACTATCATATCTCAGAAAAGCAATAATTTTGTTTCTTCTTTGTGAATGTTTACTTCTTAAATTTCTTTTCTTATCATTATAGCTAGCGTTTCTAGCACTATATTAAACAGAAGTGATAATCAGTATCATTGTTTTACCTCTGATTTTATTGGAAGGAACTTTTTCCCACGACATATGTTTGCACTTAAATTTGGATATTATTTACTCCAGTTAACGGAAAGTCTACTTGTTCCTATGATTTCTAGTTTTTAATAGAAATGAGTGTTTTATCAAGTTTTTAGCATCTACCAATATAATAATATGATTCATATAATTTCTATTAACAAGGTTTATTATATTTATATTTTCTCTTATGTCGAACCAATCTTGAAACCCAACCTGGTCATAGTGTGTAATTTTTCTAATATGTTGTAAATCTACTGCCTAATATTTTAATTTTTTACATCAATTTTTGCTTTTTGGATCAATGTTCAAGTGTTCATTTATCATTTGTTCAATTTCACTTTCTGATATTGGATTATATAGTTTATTTCTTCTGCTAATGTGGGTATTTTATGTTTTTGTTAAGTATTCATCTATTTCCTTTAAGTTACCAGTTTTGTAAGCACATAACTAGGCAAAATTGTTTCTAATAATGTCCTTTATTTCCTTTTCATTATTATAAATTCTTTTTTCATTTCTGATATAAACAATATGGTTTTCCTTTCTATTTAAAAAAGTCAGACTTGCTGCTTATTTTATTCCCCTCCCTCTCCCCCCCCAAAAAACCTCAGCTCCTATTTTTATCATTCAATGGTCTTTTTATCTTTTATTTTCAGATTTTTTTACTTTGTTAGAGATTTCTGATTTGTTCAAGTTTTTTCTAATTGCATGCCCCATTCATCAATTCATTTTCTCTTTTGTTTATGAAAGTGTTTAAAAATATAACATTTCCTCTCTGAATTGCATTAGCTGCATCCCATAAGTTTTGATATGCCTCATTATTGTCATTTGCTTTGTTTAAATTTTCTACTTTTTCCAAAATTTGTTCTTTGACTCATCAATTCTTTAGAATTATGTTATTTAGTCTCCAGTTACTTTTTAATTACTTCTTTAAGGACCTTTTATTGAATACAGTTTTTATCACACTGTGATAGTAAATGATGTGATAAATATTTCTGTCTTTCACATTTTTGGTGAGGTCTTTATGTTCCAATACATGGTCAATTTTAATGTATAGCTAAAGGTATGTAAATTCTATACCATTTTACTAATCACCAGAGAGCTATCATTTCTAATTTTTCTAAAGCTCTATTCAGGTACTTATTTATCTAGGTCTGAAAGGGATGATGCATTAAATTTACCACTATTAATTTTATTGTATTTCTCCTCCTAATTCACTTTTCCTTTTGGATGTTATGCTATTAGTTGCATATATATTAAGTATTGTCATTAATTATCTATGGTGCCTTTTAGTATAATGTAATTTCAATACTAATCTTTTTTACTTTTCTATATTTACTCTAGTTCCATCTGAAATCATGTTTGCTACCCCTGCTTTTAGTTGAGCTAAAGCATTGCAGATTTTGCTCCAACTCATTTTAATTCTATGTAAAACTCTACATACTGTTGGATTTTGTTTTCTAAGACATTCTACTATCCTTTTCCATTTTATGGATGAGATCATCCCTAAATATCCCACTCACATCCATGTTTGACTGTTAATTGTATATTTCCCTCATCCTTTTCTTTTGTACTTTTTCTTCTCTTTACTCCCACCTTCTACTTTAAAAATAAGGTGGTAAAGAATTGTATCTCTTCACAATGCTCCTTCCAACATTCATTTGTTTTGTTTCTGACTATTCTTTTTTCTATCCTTCCCTCCCTTTTAGACCCTTCTCTCCTCTTATCCCTGTCCCTGACTATTTCCCTTTTGAGTTTCATGGTTTTTTTTTTTTTTTAGGCAATTGGGGTTAAGTGACTTGCCTAGGGTCATACAGCTAGTAAGTGTCAAGTGTTTGGTCTGAGGCTGGATTTGAACTGAGGTCCTCCTGACTTCAGGGCCAGTGCTCTATCTACTATACCACCTAGCTGCCCCTAGTTTCATGTATTTTTATACCAAAATCTGAGTTTGTATATGTAACTGTATTCAATCTTTCTTTATCTGATTCAGATGAAAGTGAAATTCATGGATATTTGCCCCCCTACCCTTTCCTTCAGGGCAACATACTCTTTACCTTATGAACTTCTAAGCAATAGTAATTTCACTTTCTTTGTTCCTTCTTTTTCCCCAGTATAGTCCCTTCCTTCTCCCATTTTTGTCTTTTCCTGAGACCATTAAAACAGGACAAAATGACCCTCTTGTCATTTTTACTTTCTCAATGACACTTATAAATATTAGGGTTTTGAGAAGACATTTGTTTCTTATCCCCTTATTAAAATGTAAAAAACTCTTTCCTACGCAGTTCCTTTTAATTAAACAAATATGTGTACACCAGCTATGTTTCTGCTGGCACCTGTGTTTCCATTTTGAAATGTCTATTCAGTTCTGGCCTTTTTCATAAGGACTGCTTAGAAATCCTCTGTTACATTAAAGATCCAATTTCCTCCTGTATGATTACCTTTAGTTATCCTGGACAGGTTGTCCTTGGTTGTAAGCCTATATCCCTTACCTTTTGGAATTATCTTGTTACAAGTTCTCTCCTCTCTTTAAACTGGCAGCAGGTGAGTCTTATGGGATACTTAGTGTGTCTCTATGGTACTTGAATTCAATCCTTTTGACTGATTAGAGTATTTTTCTTTGACCTAGAAGCTTTGGATTTTGGCTAATATATTCCTGGTAGTTTTCCTTGTGGGATTTGTTCCTAGAGATAAACAGTGTATTCCTTCTATTTTTATTTTCCCCTTGGTTCTAAGAGTTCTGGGCTGTTTTCATGTATAATTTCCTCAAATATAGTATCTAGACTTTACAATATGAGGTTTTTCAGAGAATCTGATCATTCTTAGATTCTCTCTCTTTGACCTGTTTTTTAGGTCGGTTGTTTTTTTGAGATATCAATTCTTACATTTTCTTCTCGCCACCCCCCCCACCAACCTTTTGACTTTGTTTCAATATTTCCTATTGCCTCATTGAGCTGATGCGTTCTGTTTCTCCCATCCTAATTTTACAAGCATTCAGTTCTTGAATGAGATTTTCCACCATCTGTTCTAATGTGTCAGCTTTCCTATTTTTCCTCCCTGGCTATACTATTCTGTATCATCTTCTTTTATTTCTTCTAGATACTCCTACAGTTTATTTGGCCAGCATGTTTTTTCTTCAAAGCTTTCCCTGGACTTGTTGTAGGATTCTTTCCAGGATTTACCCCTTCAGTGTCCCTCAAACCAAGGCATTTCCTTCTGGCATTCAGCAATTTTCTTGGTTTGCTCAACTCATCTGTCTTAGTACCTTGGGTGAGGGACCTGCACTTGTGTCAACCTCCTCAACTGAATGGCATGGACAGAGTTTTCCTGGTCCTGATTATGGAAGCCTAGAGAAGCCCCATCCTTCAACGGATTCTGGGGTTCCTTCAGTGCTGGGCTCTGTCTCAGGGCATCCTCTTGTCACCAGACACCAGGACCTCCCCCTACTTTAGGCTCTGCTTGGCATCTTCCTCCCTGTGCTTATACTCAGGGACTATTCCTTTATTAAGCTCCTTCTACAAGTGCCTACTTGAGCTGGATATTATCTGGGGTCATTCTCCCAAAGCTGGGCTTGGGTAATCAGTGCCATAATAGACCCTGCCTGGGACTCCCTGGGTCTGCTCTCTGTTATAGGCTTCAGGAATAGTTCAGTCTGGGCTAGGGTCACTGCCAGGCTCAGCCTGCTAGTGCCAAGTGGCCCTGGGCAGCGTCTCCTGGGACTCCACTTTCCACCAAGGTCCTGGTTTCCACTGTTTATCCCAGGGTCTCCATAGGACTCCAGAGGTCCCCCTTTGTTTTCCTAAGCAGGGTGATTCTCCATATTTCTTTGTGATTTTTAGAGTGATGCATTTCTAATTCTCACTGGAGTGTTTGCAGAGGACCTGGGCTCTTACATGTACTAGCAAGTCCCCATCTTCCCACAATTCCCTTTCATATTTGTTGATATTTATTAAGTTCATAATGAAAAAGGAAATTTTTTTAAAAGGACAAAATGGAAAGAACATGAAAGTAAAGAGAAAAATGTTTGGGACAGAAGTTAAGGATACTGTGATGGGAAAGGGAGATAAAGGACAAAAGGTAGCAAAAAGACAAAAAAGATGAAGAGTAAGAAGAATATACAAAGAAGAGAAAGTGGTTATATTAAAAAAATAGGCTTTAATCTGTAACCATACTTACAAGCTGAATGAGACGTGGGCATCGTGCATAAAGCACAAACATGTGAGCACATAGCACATCTCCAGAGTCCATCTGAAACTGCACATCACTCAGGTGGGGGTTGTTGACCATTGCACCAAAATCAGCAGATAGCAAACTAAGTGACAGCTGAAAAAATAAAAGGGATGAAAACATCCATTTTCTACTTCTCTAACAAAGAGGCTAATCTATTCCAACCAGTCTCACTACAATATAATGGTAGGATGACATTATGACAAATGGAAGCTTCACATCTAACGAATTTCAAATCTAATTATTTAGGATAAACACTTCGGAGGATAGATATGCTGGCTATTTCAGTTAAGGAAAACTGGAAGGTATTCACAGATGAATGGGTGGCCCTGCTGACCAAAATGTAAAGAAAATACACACCAATGACAACCATTTCTTGGCTCTTTAGGCCAGTGTCATGAAGTCATTCCCATAAAAATCCACAGAGCAAATACTTCACGAAGAAGCCAATTATGTGGATTAGGGACATTAGGACATTAGACATTAGTACAAATGGTTTTGGTCATACTTTAGGTGGCAGGACAGTAACAATTCTTGGTGGCCTTCTACTGACTTAGGGCAAAAGCTATCATAGGTATAGCTATAGATGAAGAGAAGTGATCTTCTATAGCAAAGATTCTTAATCTGAGGTCTGTGAACTTTTTAAAAAAATTATTTTGATAACTGTATTTCAATATATTTGGTTTCCTCTGTAAAATCTTACATATTCTATTTCATGCATGTAAAAACATTATTCTGAGATGGCATCCGTGAAACAATATAGGTTAAGAATATCTATTCTTTAAGTAGAATCAAGAGAGTAGATGTGAAGCAACTTAGCAAGTCCATTTTACCATGCACACAAAGCAACTGCAGCTGACAGTAACTGGGACAAACCAAGGAAAACGTTAAACTAAAAAAAATTATAAATCTAACAGCCATACGTTGTATTAATACAGCAGTTTAAGATTTGAAAAGCACGTGACAAATTCTCTCATTTCATTCTCACAACAACCCTTTGAAGGAGGTGCTATTATTATCCCCATTTCACATAAGGGAGAACTGAGGCTGACAGTGGATAAGTGACTTTTGCTCAGGGTCATACAGGTAATAAGCATTTGAGGCACTTACTAAAAAGGAGCTGTAGGGAACAGATTTACAGTTTCATGTGCAATCCTTTTTTTTTTTAGTCTTCTTTGTATATGAAAGTGTTCATGTTTGATCATTTTCTAGTTCATGATTTTTAAAAATTAAGAATAAGTAAAAAGAATTATAACACTTTGAAAAAAATAAACCCTTACTGCAGAATTGCTGTTTCTCCAGTGTTTCTTCTCTCTGGGTGATAAGACAAATCCAGTCAACGGAAGATCACAGGACTCCAGATCTTTCCCTTATGAAAGTGCAGATGAAAAGAAAAATCACATTCTAAGCAAGAAAAAATAGCAAAATCAAATACTAGGGACACAGAGAAACTGTCTCAGGATGAAATCAGGCTGCGAAAGCCTTGGGTGCTTATAATGATCAGACTATTTACTTATGATTTTAAAAATCACAAAAATGAAAAAATTACATTATATGGGATGGTATTCTGGTAGAGGGGAGTAGAAGGGATAGCTAGAGAAGGAACTTTAGGTGATACAATAATAAAGACATCAATAAAAATTTTCTTTAAAAGTTGCTTTAAAGGGCAGCTAGGTGACGCAGTGAATACAGCTCTGGCCTTGGAGTCAGGAGGACCTGAGCTCAAATCCAGCTTCAGACATTTGACACTTACTAGCTGTGTGACCCTGGGCAAGTCACTTAACCCTGATTGCCTCACCAAAAATCAAAAAATAAATAAATAAAAATAAAAAGTTGCTTTACATACAGCATCATTTAATCATTACAATCACCTTACAGTTGTTAGTGCACACGTGATTTCCCCCATTTTACTGAAGGGGAAACTAGGGCTCTTGGAGGTTACTTGACTTGCCCAAGACCAGAGGTTAGCAAATGGTAGAGCTGAAATTTGATTCTAAGACCAGTGCTCTCTTCACTATATCACATTTCCTCATGGATGAGATTTCCTTATCACACAAGTAAAAAAAATTAACATCTCACAAAACATTTTTGCCAGCCTGCCCTCCCAACAAGCAGGTACATTTTTAGAAAAATAAATAAGACCATTCTAAACTATTACTTGCCCTTGGAAAATGTTTTGTTTTATTTTCCAGGCTGAGGGATGTAAGCATAGCCACAACTGCTCATTTCACATTTAACTGTGTGGCTCAAATGGAAGCAACTACAGAGATGAGGTTGCTCTCACATGAAATTTCAAAGTAGTTTAGAATTTCCTAAACCAAGAAACAATCTCCGTGGACTATCACAGCCAAAGTTAAATGAATAACGCGTCTCTGGAGGGCTGTGGAAAACGGGCCTGACCACAAGGGTCTTACCTGATAGACTTCTGGAATGGGTCTCAGCACCGCTGTTCCACTGGGTGAGAGTCAGCCCTTCTCCGGCCAGATCGATAAGGACCTGCAGAGTCTGATGGTCTTTCTGGCTACCGGAAAGTGACTGCCTCCTGGAATTAGGCTCTTCTGGAGTTTTAAAGTTAAAGCCTTCAGAAGTGGGATCACTGAAGGCAGGAAGGTCTTGCACATCTGGCTTGGACTGGCTAAATGCCATTAATGGCAGCAGGGGCCCCCTTTCTGAATTCTAAAATAAACCAAAACCCAACCCAATTACATTATTATATTTATTGATGTTGGCTGAGCAGCTATATGATACATTGTACAAAAGGTAGGTACAATAAATATTGTCCCTATTCTACAGATGAGGAAACTGAGTTGCAGGGAGACAGACTTCATAGCTAGTAAGCTAGTCAGAGGAAGATTTGAACTCAGGTTTCTTCTGACCCTAAGTTCAGTGCCCTTTCCATTGTACTACACTACCTCCTCTAATACCAGGAATCTGAACAACAGCGTGCATTTCTATACAGCTTTAAGATTTACCAAATGCTTTTTATTTACTTATTTAAAGCTTTTTATTCTTAAAGTAAGCAACAATACTGGTATGTACGAATGCCCTTAGAGAGGGATTTAGTTACAGGGAAAATACCTGAAAGGTACCTAGTTCCCAAGTAAATCTGAATGACCACTGGGTTCTAGGCTCTAAGGGTTGGAAGGACCCTCAGGGAACTTCTGTCCATCTTTCTGATTCCACAAAGGGCTATTCCTAAACTCCTCTATTTGATTCTCAAACTTATACCCAAGAAAGTTCCTGAAGGGAAGATACAATAAGCCACATATCTGTAGTGATACTGATTTAGAAAATCAAAGGCATGTCTACTTGGAAGAGATCAAAATTAAGGAAGGAGGGAAATGAAATCTCACATATCTCCTTCTCTTGGTGCTATAAACTACATCTACTATAGCTTCTTCTGACTATCATTTCAAAATAAAGTCAATAATATATCATAAACCCCACTCACTTCAGAACCCTATTATAATGTTATATTTGTGAAATGAACTGGATGGTCAACAACCATCTGAGTAAACCCTTGAGCCTCTTAAGTGTCAGTATGTTTACCATGTTATTTATAATTTTGTTCCTATGGAAAGCTATATGGTTGTTTCACCTCATACCATCTATCAATGAATGTTAGGCCAGTGTATCTATATATTAACCAGACTTACATATATAGTTGTTCTACCTGTAACTGGCTAGAAGTAAGAGTCAGACTTATCTCATAGGTCCTTACCTTGTAAAATAAGCACTTTATAGATAAAAAAACTGAATCCTAAAGTACTCCAACTTCCACAGTCAATGGCAGTGCCAGGAGAAGTGCCCTAACACCTAGGAGAACTCTGTATCCATTAGCTCTACCCCAACATCTCCACAAGATGTGATCATGGGAAAAATCTCACCTTCGTAGGTTTCCAGGGTAAAATAGGAGGGTCTAATCCTTTAGTATAAAAAGACTCCAGAGGCCAAGCTCCTGTCAAAGAGCTGCCCTTCCACAGAATGCCTTGTTTTTCTTCAGGCTGCAGCAGACACCAAGGTGCCTTGCCCATCTCTTCTTTCAAAATTTTGCTCAATGGAAGGGGTGGAGTGCTGGATAACTGGAATTCCTCCGTGAGTAGAATAGCAATTCGATCCTGTATCTGTTGAAGGTAAGTCTCTGAATCTTGAACTAACAATTGAGGTGGGGAAACAAGTTTCCTCTTACGACTTTTCTTCTCTAAAGATAAACAGAAAACAATATGGATCAATAACAGAATGAATCTACTGACACTGAAATCTGTACAGCAACATGTTCTGAATGAATAAAATGAAAAAGAACCTAGGATCTCTTATGACCTAATGTAGCACTACTCTCACGTACCTGCTCCTGGCCTTATGTTGTTTGGAAACACATTTCCAAGATTATCATTTGTCACTGTCTTAGATTGCTCCATCAGAGAATGGGACATTGCCATTGCAACAAGGAGGTCCTCTGACATGGCCTCTGTCTTGGATATCTTCCGCCTTTTCTGTGGTTTCTTTTCATTGGTTGACCCTTTCCTCTTTGACTCGCTAACTGGTTTGCTGAAAACAAAGAGCCACAAAAGAAAAGTTAATAAGGATTAGAGTATGGGGCAGCTAGGTGGTGCAGTGGATAGAACACCAACCCTGCAGACAGGAGGACCTGAGTTCAAATCTGGCCTCTGACACAACACTCTGAGCAACTCACTTAACCCCAATTGCCTCACAAAAAAAAAAAAAAAAAAGATTAGAGTAGTGAACTACTTTATAATATTGTACTATTCAATCCAGATTTTAGAAGGCAGAAGTCAAATGTCAAAGCAGTAACTAAACAATTCAACTCTTCAAACATTTGAAACATGTTTCTGCTGTGCTATTAACTTTTCTTATTTTCCCACTTTGTTCAAGATTCTAAAATCTCAAGAAAAAAAAAAAGGATGTTGCTTAATACTGAGCAAATATTCTATGTTAGTATAGAATATTCTATATTTAGGGCTACTGGTCTCAACCCAGGCTTTCTTTTTTTCAGGAACAAAAACAAATCTTCTGACAAATATCCATAATCAAGCAAAACAGATTTCTCACCTGGTCAAGTCCAAAAAATATCTTATTCTGCACCCTGAGTCTACTACCTCATCACCAGACCTCTGGAATGGTGATTGGTCATTGCACAGATCAGAGTTAAGTCTTTCAAAGTTGCTGTTATTGTATAAATTGTTTTCCTGGTTTTGCTCACTTCATTCTATATCAGTTTATCCAAGTATTTGCAGTTTTTTTTTAAATCATCCCTTTCATCTTTTTTTAAAACAGCATGATGATACCTCCATTACATTCCAATACTACATTTTGTTTTGCCATTTTCTAATTGATGGGCACTCCCTTGGTTTCTAGATTTTTGCCACCACAGAAGAGGTGTTATTAATATTTTTATATATTTGGGTCCTTTTACTCTTTCTTTGATATCTCTGAGGTTTGATATCCAGTAGTATCACTGATCAAAGGTGACCCAGTGATCAAATAGATACAAAGCACAGTTTAGTAGCTTTGGGGGGTAGAGCTCCAAATTGCTTTCCAGACAGCTAGACTAATTCACAGCTCCACCAGTAGTGAGCTAATTAATTATTAATTAGTGAGTCTGTTTTTTAATAGCCCTTCCAACATTTGTCATTTTCCTTCTTGGTCAACTCTGTCAATCTGATAGGTGTGAGATAGAACTTCAGGGCAGCTTTAAATTCATTTTTCTAATTATTAGTGATTTAGAGCATTTTTTTCCATATACCTATTGATAGCTTGGATTTTTTTTCCCTTTGAAAAATGTCTTTCATAGTCTTTGACCATTTGTCAATGGGAGAATATCAGCTGAGTTTTCCAGTAAACACATTTAAAGATGATTTATGGTAATTCTGCTCAGATCAGATGTGAAAATATTCTATAATTAAGTTTAGAATTACAGACACCCATAATAGCCCAATCCCTGCTTTCCCTGTACCCCACCAATCATTTCTACAGAAAATTCTGATGCCTCTTTGGAGAATTCCCTTCATAGATAGGTAAGAAAGGATCCCTTTCTTCATGCAGATGTACTTTCTACCCTCCCAGCCCCAAGGAAAATTACTTCCAATAACTGAATTATAGATTTCCTGCCAAAATCTTGAATTTTTCACCAGACCAAATAATCATCAAGAAATATAATATGGTTTCTTTTATTCCAAAACTTTACAAACAGTCTGCGCTTCCCCCTCCTAGCAAATCAAGCACTAAATCAACCAGACAAGTTGCTTGCATGGCTGTGTCCACAGGCCACAAGAGTAGAAGACTCCCAAGAAAGTCTCAGTGTCCAGGATTGTCAAAAAGTCCTAGGGTAGTGAATTTACCTGCCCTCCTTCTCCTCACCTCATCATGAGAAACCCCAGATCACAGGAGCTCATAGGGGCTCAGTCTGTCCTGAGATGCTAGAGAAGGCAATGAAAATCCAGCCCTTGAAACCTCAAAGATTCAGGGAGGCTTAATCCGGGGAGATTCAGGTGGGCACAGGAACCCAGGGGACAAAGGACAAGACTAAGCAGGGGCAACCAACTCCCCCAGAAGTACAGCAAAGACTGAAGTCTGGCCCTGGCAGAAAGCCCCAATCTGAGAACTAAAGTTAGGGCATTAATTTTAAAAAAAAAACAACCCACCAAACTGTGTAAAAAATTAGTGGCTATAAATCCTAACTACAAGCACAGACGCAAAAGAAAAAAAATGGATGTCCCAAGAACTACATGAATACCTAGAAGAAATAAGCAAGAGATTACAAAATGAAATTGAAGCTTTGGAAGAAAGAATTAAAAGAAGAATAAGTAGCTTAGAAGAGAAAGTGGCTCTTCCCCAAGAAAAGGTCTCCCTGAAAACCAGAAGAGACCAAACAGAAATCAATTACTCCATACAAAGAAATGTTAGAACAAAATTAAAAAATTGAAAAAAATAAAATAAAATATAAGATATCTGATATAAAAATGACTTAGAAAACAGGCCAAGGAGAAAATTTAAGAATCATTATACTTCTTGAAAACCATTGTAAAAAAAAAAAAAGCCTTGGGCATCATATCTCAAGAAAGTATAGCTCAAAATTGCCTACATCTATTAGAACCAGAGGGCCAAGTGAAGAAAGAATCCACAGACTACTTCCTAAAGGTGTCATCAAAAGGAAAAGTCCCAAGAATATCATAGTCAAAATTTAGAGTTCCCACAAAACTTTACACAAAACTCTTACAAAAACAAAATTCAGAGTTCCATTCAGAAAGGAATTCAAGTACCCAGGACCAAGTCAGCATCACACACGATCTGGCAGTTTCTAAGAGCCAGAGGAGATCATGGAATATACTAATTCCAAAAGACAAAAGATTTGGCCTTACAATCAAAAATAATTTATGTTGCAAAACACAAGTATAATCTAAAAGGGGAAAAAATGGACCTTCAATGAAACAGAGGACTTTTAAGCATTTTCTGATGAAAAGAGCAAAGATGAGTAGGAACTTTGAAATACAAACACAAAACTCTAGAGAAACTAAGAAAGGTAAATTTAATTGAGCAATTGGAAGTAATGCTAATATTCTGTTACGGGGATAAGACAAAAGCATCTCTTCAGATCTTTATATCTTCAAAAGGTATTTGAGGGAGTTAAACACGAAAAATGAAGGTGTGGAATGGTTCTGTTCTTAGTATTTGAAGAGGGGGAAAAAAGGGAGGGTAAAGCAGGAATACCCTGGCAAGGGGGTAGAACTTGCTATTTCCCTAACTGTAATGTGAGATAAGAATGTATAAACTGGAGGCAGGGCTGTAGGAGCAGGCATGAGCCTTACTATTATCTGACTGAAACAGATAAAAGAAGAAGTGATAACCACAAGATGCAAAGACATACTTTTTTTTTCTCATTTCTTTCTCTCTACCCTAATGGTGGAGAGGGGCTGCAAGAGGAGGGAGAGTTTTCAATAGTAACATTTACAAAAGAAAAAGGTCATTGAAACATTTTTTTAAATGCACGGTTCAAAAGGAAGTACAGATGATTAGGACAGATTCAAAAGTCAGCAAGTAGAATTAAATACTTTTTATTTTTAAAAAGCAAGTGATGTGACATGGAGATTCATAGCTAAAAATAGAGTCTTCTTTATGTGCTGTGATATGTACATAGAAATCCTCTTTTTTGGCATTTAAGTTCAAAATAAAATATGAAATATTTAAAAATAAATGAAAATAATTGGATTTAAAGATTCCAAGCTAGTACTCCCTACAGCTAAACTTAGCAATATTACCAAATGGCACAACTAAGTCAATATACTGGCTTATCTATCAGGTTTTCTTTGATAATTTGGGTTGAAGGAGCATAACTGGTGGGATTTTCTGGCTGAAGAGGTTACAATGGGCATCTGAGACTAGAAATAGGCTAGACACAGGGGTGGGGAACCTGCAGCCTCCAGGCCACATGTGTCCCTCTAGGTCCTCAAGTGCAGCCCTTTGACTGAATCCAAACTTCACAGAACAAATCCCCTTAATAAAAGGATTTGTTCTATAAAACTTGGACTCAATGAAAAGGCTGCACCCAAGGACCTAGAGGGCCACATGTGGCCTGGAGGCCACAGGTTCCCCACCCCTGGCTGGCAGAAGAAATAAATAAAGCTGCAACACTTAGAATTATCTTTGGGGTGTCAAACCCAAACACCACTTTCCCTATACTGAATTAGTCATTAGGCATTCTGTGTGGCTGATGCGAATGTTTTTGAGCTCTCTGGATGGGGTGGATGAGAAGGTCCCTGGTCTATACCTCTGGAGGTCTATACCCCTGGACCATCTTGAAAGATCCCAGGGAAGTTCTGTGCGTCCTAAATCTAGTGAAAACCCTCTAAGTGAATCAGAAACTTCCAAGGTAACTTGGAACCTCCCTGTCTGCTTAGGGGTCCTTTATTTTGTGCCTGCTGTCCAAAACTTATCCTGTTGGGATATGTGGAAGGAAACAATGGTCTGAGAAACTACAACCTATAGGCAAAATGACATCAAATCTATAGCTGTGGAAATCTCCCTCCAAAGTAAAGCTACCAGCCAGATGGCACAGAGGATATGGTGCTGGGCCTGAAGTCAGGAGAATTCATCCTCCTGAGTTCAAATCTGGCCTCAGATACTTAACTAGCTGTGTGACCCTGGGCAAGTCACTTAACCTTATTTGCCTCAGTTCCTCATCTATAAATACAAAAGCTGGAGAAGGAAATGGCAAATCACTCTAGTATCTTTTCCAAGAAAACTCCAAAAGAAGTCACAAAGAGTCAGATGTGACTAAAATGACTGAATAACAACAACAAATAGCTACTATACCCTTACTGTTATACACAACAAAAGGTTCAATGTTCTTTCAAGAACACCAAAATTATTACTGTTTTTTTACTGATAATGGAGCACTTCACATATACACATTTGCTCTTTTTTTCTTCTTGTATTTAAAAAAAATAAAGGACATTTTTATCTATGTGAGACAGTCTAAGTGTATTCCTACTAGACAAAGGGATGGCTCAGATAAAGCCTCAAAATGTCCAACATAGGCAGACCCATTCATTCCTGTTTCTTTCATCCTTCTCTGTTGATGGCCAATGATGGCCAGATATCACTGTGATCAATACCACTATGTATATTGGTGGACCAGGTAAAAAAAAAGTCAACTGCCTTTGGTCCCTTATCCCCTACAGCCAATTTCTCCCTAATTTTTGCTTCAGCATTCACAGCAAAGAATTATCAAATAAAAACGAGTCTGGGCAACTTAGCTATGTTAAGCACTGAGACCTATTGTTGAACAATAGGAAAAAAGTTTACCCTGTCTTCAGGTTTGGGTGGCCCCCACTCCAAAAAACAGAACTTATTTTCCTAACTGTAACCAAATTGCACTACACTAGCATTAAAGCATTTAATTCATGCAAATATTTTCCTAAATGGTTCCAAAATTCTATTTAAAACTTGAGAGCTTGAGAGCTATTGACACATCTGATTGCTCTGCAATTTTGGCAATTTGCCTAGTATTAATAGATATGACAGACGGGTTGTTTCCGTTGAAGGGAAACTTTACAGTTCAACAGGTTAAACTGCAGAATCACAGGAATTATTTGTTATTTACAGACAAAGAACCATATGATTAGAGAGGTTCTCATGAGAGTGCCTATCATACCTTCAGGAAGAGCCACCACTAAACCATTCCAGATAAATGACTATTCTAATTTCAAAGTCCTCGAGAGGAGGAAAGCCTGTAATATACCATTTGCTTATTATGAACATGACTTATTCCTTCCTCAAATCATTTACTCTTCAGTAGGAATTATGTGTCAACTTAATACTTTAATCAAGGTGGGTGGCCCTGGATGTTTGATTTGTTTCTCAAAAAATGTGAAAAGTCTATAAAATAATAAAATAAACCACACTTCCAGTTTTAAGAAAACAAAGGACAACAAAATTGCATTACTGAACTTCTTCACTCTTTCCATGACTCACCTTGATGCTGATGGGAAGTTCTCATCAGGCTGAAATGTCTGCAGCCTGACTGCCTGGACTAGTTGCTGGGGAGAAACTTCCATCTTGACCGCACACTGTTTCAAATGACTATTTCTGCTCTTTGAAGTAGTGAATGGCTTGCCGCAGATTGGGCATTCTGGGATCTTGGGTGCAATAGAGGCAGGTTCCAGTGACTTCTCTGACTCATCTAAGCATCTACAGAAGAAAACGCAAAATAAAAAATCCTTTATGGCATGGTACATTATGACAAAAATTTAGAAAACATGTGAAAACATGAAAACATTTCACAACAAACAGCATATAAACCATGTGCCCTGTTATAAAGAGTCTCTGTATAAGAATTGGGCAACCTCTTAGACCAGGGCTTCTTAAACTTTTTCCACTCATGACATCTTTGCGCCCAAGAAATTTTTATGTGACCCCATGCACATAGGTATACAAAACAGGTATATAAATCAAACATTTACTGATAGTAAATCATAAAGAAATTTTCTTTAAAACAATTCTTTGATATACATATAGTTTTACCATTTATTAAAGATGAAAACAAATTTATATACTAATGAGATTGATGTGCTTGCTTATTTTTACATAAAGAATTAAATCTTGGTGGAATACTTGATACTGCGGGACAGAGAGCATCTTCAAAGTTTTTCAGAATTGACTGATATTTTTATTTTATAATTGTCAATGCTGTATTCAGAACAAAGGCTGCAGTGAAGTCACATGATGCAACACAGACTAGCGCTGCCAGAAACACCTCGGATTCATTACACATTTGATTTTCAATTAATTTTTGGTCATCGCATGTTCAGAAACCTTCTACTGTTGCCAAATTTTTCACAATCCCCCACATTCATTTACACAACCCCATATGGGGTGGTAACCCACAGTTTTAAGAACTGCTATGCTTAGACTAAGGAGCACAGACCAAGTATATGAGGAGGAAGTTGGGGGAAGGAAAGCAGAGTTTTGGTCAGTGACGTTTCCATTAACAAGTGTTCTTTTCAGCAACAAAGTATAATTAGTATTAATATTATAAAGCTTCCAAGATTAACATCATAGCAAATACAACACTGATGTGGCCATTAAACTAGATGGTAACCTAGAGATGCAACAATGTAAGCTGGTCTAACCTGTTAACATGTTGTTCCCTTCGAACAGCATTCATGGCTGAGAGATCCTTCTGACAAATCTGACAGAAAAACAAACCCTCCTGCTCCAGACTGTCTGAATTCTGTGGGGTCTCCTGACCAAATTCCTGCTGTAAAGCCAAGGCCAGAGCTGCGTCACTCTCTGTCACAGTAAGCCCCGGCATATTTCCTAAGGGGAAAAAAAATAAATCTTCTTAAAGGGAAAATTTCTCTCTAGAAATTTACATTTTAAAATCATGGCATAATAATGGCAGGAGGGACCTTAGAGATAATTTAGTCCAACCCTTTCATCTTTACAGAGTTTTAAAAAAGGTTTTCTTGGGAAAAAAAAAAAAAAAGATTTTCTTGGCTGCTAGGACACGCGGACCCCAGTCAACCTAGTCAATTGAAGAACATTAGAATCCAACATTAGTCCACTGACTAAATTCTTATGAGCTAGATAACATACTCTTGCAAAACGATAAATGGCTTAATCTTTGTCTCAAACAAAAGAGGAGGAAACATATCTCTCTCCTCTCAGTAGAGAAGTATGGCATTAAAGATGCAAAAATGAGGGACAGACTGACACAGATTACTGAGATTTATTAAGGGAGAAGGGTGTGTGTGCAAGATAAAGACAAATAGTAAAAAAAAAAATTAAAGATAAGGAAAAAATGGTAAAGCCCCTTCTCATTTCATGTGGTGTCAAATGACAGGCCAGTGAGTACCACTAAGTGGAAAAGACTCTATATACCAAACCAAGTGACTAGAAAGCTTGGCTATCGAATACTAAGGCTCCAGTTGTCCAAGACCTGCCACAGATTTAGTGAAGGCAAAATGCAGGAATGACAAGTCTAAAGCACTTGCTTTTTATCTTCCCTGTATTGGCTGAAAGGTAATGCTTCAGATACCATATATTTACTGGGTTGCTGATTAGATGGTGGGAACTAACTTTTCTCTAAATCCACATTCTTTCCTTGAATCTCAACCTTTAATATTATGAAGTGTTTACATCTCAATCACAAAGGGCAGAACTTTGAATCCACTTGGCCCAATGCTGAAGTCCTTCCCTTATCTAAAAGACAAATTATGATTGATGTCTAGAGGCCAGGGACATCATCTGCCTGATGGGTCTGATGTACATCAATGGAGCGAACAGTTCTAGTCTTAAGATAGATCTCAAATAAATGGACCGATAACTCCATTCCCATAGACAATGTTAACGCTGACTATTGCTATAGATCCAACATCAGGCTAATTACCCCATGCCTTTTCCCTTTGTATTCTCTTAACAGAGAGGTGGATTTGCACTGCTTAGGATGTAAGAAAGACTGGAGACCATCTCAAATCTGAGAAACAATACTAGGTATCCTACCTTCTATTCCCTAATTGTAACCTCTTGACTCTGTTCAGAAGATACCTTACCACTGTTCTGTGTATCCTCCTCCTGACTGGATTCTGAGACGTTTTCTTTAAGTACAGTCTCCACTGAACAATCTTCAGGGGCATGTTTCAACCTTTCTGGATCTGTTCTCTTGAACTGCTGCATTTTTCGCAATACCAGCTCTGCTGCCCGGGGTTTGGAGACACTTGGTAACAAAGCAGTCAAACAGTGTGATGCTGTCTGAGAAGAATCATCTACAACACCTACTGACAGGGAAAAAATATATATAAAACTATTCATCTTATACAGAGTAATAACATCCTGTTCTAAAATACAAGGTAAAGCAGTCTATTTTAAATATAGCCCTCATTGACATATTCTCTGATTCTTAAGTCTGAATAGTATTTTTTATTGACAACGGATTTGGAGCTTTTCTCACAGAGATAGTATTGAGAGAGAGAAAAAAATAAAAAGTACACAGCAGAGAACAAAAGAAAACTTAGAAGGAAGCATAGAAAAGCAGGGTAGTTTTGAAAGTGATGTGTAATATTTATTACATAGTTTTTCAAAAAAAGGAAACAGTGTGAAATGGAAATTCATGGTTTTATACTGAATCTTCTTTTTTATGTGTGTGTGTCTTTTTGTATTTAAATTCAAAATGAATAAAAATTTTTTTTGAAAAAATTTTAAAATGATGAGCAGGATACTTTCAGAAAGACCTGGAAAAAATTACTTGAACTGATACAAAGTAAACCAGAGCAGAACCAGAAGAACATTTTACACAGTAACAGCATTGTTGTACAATGATCAACTGTGAATAATTTAGCTATTCTCAGCAATACAAAGATCCAAGATCATTCTGAAGGAATTATGATGAAAAATGCTATCCACCTCCAGAGGAGAACTGATAGAGTCTGAATGTAGATCAAAGCATATTATTTTTTACTTTATTGTTTTCATGGGGTTTTTTTGGTCTGTTTTCTTTTACAACATAACAAAATATGTTTGCATGTCTGCAATATATAACCTATATAAAATTGCTTGCTTTCCCATTGAGGGAGGAGGGGAAGGAGGGAGAGAATTTGGAACTCCACATCTTTAAAAAAAGAAATGTTAAGTTTTGTTTTTATGAGTAATTGGAAAAAATTAAATATTGAAATCAGAGATTAAAAGAAAACAGGAATTTTAATTTGTTTACCTGTCCAGGTTTTTGGCTGACTTGGTTGTGGCCCAGGTTCTTTCTGAGTGGCTGCAAGAATGTCTCCCTCTCTTTTTGAAGTAGAGGCCACTCTGCTTTCATGGGAAGTGACTTCACATCTTCCTTCATTCCCTGGTGCTGGACCTCTCTTGCCCAGCTCTGTTTTCTTTTCTGTGGAGTCATGGCTGATTTTGGTCTTAGGAGGAAGTTTGGTCCTTTTCAATTTGCTTTTTGTTTGAATGCTACTAGCCTCCTTCTGAGTCCTTGTTTCTCCTAGGTCTTCTTTGGCCCCTTTCTTCCTCACCCTTCGAAGAAGTTTGGAGCATAGTTCATTAAAATCATCATCTGATTCATCCATCAACTATTTTTTTTAACACATTCAGATTGATATCCAGAGGAGAATCAGTATATGCATACAAAGATGAGAATATGAGTAAAACTGTAAGTATAAATCTATTTATACACAGTATAAATCCAAGACTTATCTTTGTTTTCGTGCCTCTGTTCTTCCCACCAGGACACTTTCACAGTAAGTATATCTATGTTTTAAGGAGAGCAAAATATATTTCTTTGCCCTCCATAGTAGTTTAAAACATTTCTCTTCAGTCTGGGCATTAAGTTAAGCACAATCTTTTAGGTTTCCCCCGGAAGAATTTCTTGTTTTCCAACACAAACTTCTAAAGCAGAGTATGGACCCACTTGGAACTCAGGTGATTATCTCAGATCTCCATGGCAGTGAAATAAGCTTGGTTAATTATCTAGAGTCTACTTCTGTATCTGTAGGAAACAAAAAAAAATATTTAAATGAAATTTAAGTTTTGTCATCTTATGCCATTCCTTTCCAACAAGGACTGGAGCTTAAGGGGGAGGCTGAGTCTTCAAAGCAGCAATATCCCTTTCAAAACACTGAAGCACCACCAAGGGAGTGTTACAATAAGCACTAACAACAAAACTACAACTGGAAAACAGGCTGGCAAAAATGTGGTTTGAACCAACATTTCATACCATACACCACAGTAAGCTCCAAATGGATTGTAAGACTTAGATAGAAAATAAAGTAGAAGAGGGCAGCTAGGTGGCACAGTGGATAGAGCACCAGCTCTGGAGTCAGGAGGACCTGAGTTCAAATCCGGCCTTGGATATTTGACACTTATTAGCCGTGTGACCCTAGGCAAGTCACTTACCCCCAATTGCCTCACCACCACCCCCCCAAAAAAAATAAAGTATATGGGCAGAGAAGAAGATATTTTTCACAACTATGGACAGGGGAAGAGTTCTTGACCAAATAAAAGATACAGAGGATCACAGAAGACAAAACAATTATGATCATACAAAATTGAAAAACTTTTTGTACAAACAAAATCAAGGCAGTTAAATTTGGAAGGGAAACAGTTAGCTGGAGGAAAACATTTGCTGATAAAGATCTGATATATAATATACAAGGAAACAAATATGAATATACATAAACAAGAGCCATTCCTGATAGTCAAAGGATGTGAACAGGCATTTTTCAAAAGCAAACTATCAACAGCCACATGAAAAAAGTGCTACAAATCACTAATTATTAGAAAGATATAAATTAAAACAACTTGAAAGTTCCACCTCACACTCATCAGATTGGCAAAGATAACAAAAATGGAAAATGTTGGAGGGGATATGAGAGGACAGGCACATTAGTAGAGCTGTGAACTGTCCAGTCATTCTGGAAAGCAATTTGGAAATATATACCTAAAGTCACTGAACTGCCCCAGTTGTCTAAAGGTAAAACAAACTGATCTTAGTAAGCAAATATTAAAACAAAACTCAAAGGAAAATTGGGATATTTTATCTTTGTATCTCCAGCAACCAAAATAGCATAAGGACATATATTAAGTTCTTAATGTTTGTGGAACTGAATCAAGTTAGCAAGTTTCTTCAGCATCAATCACGTATAAAGCAACAATATATATTGTAATATAACATAGCAACAAAACTTGGCTCAAAAACATCCAATGGCCTTTTCTCAATCCTCATTCTCCTTGACTTCTCTGCTGCCTTTGCCACAGTTGATCACCCTCTCCTCCCTGATATTCTCTTCTCTCTGGGTTTTTAGGATGCTACTCTCTCCTGGTTCTCCTCCTACCAATCACACCACTCCCCAGCCTCTTTTGCTGGATCCTCATCCAGGTTATGCCATTAACCATGGGTGTCTCACAGAGTTCTGTCCTGGGCCATCTTCTCTTCTCCCTATATACTACTTCACTTGATCTCATCAGCTCCCATGGATTTAATTATCAACTCTATGCTGATGATTCTCAAATCTACCTATCCTGCCCTAACTTCTCTCTTGACCTCTAGGCTCACATCTCCAAGTGTCTATTAGACATTTTTAAGTGGATGTCCTGGAAACATCTTAAACTCAACATATCCAAAACTGAATTCATCTAAACCTTCCTCCTTTCCAAATTTTCCTATTATTATGAGGGCACCACCATTCTCTCAGTCCCTCAGGCTCTCAACCTAGGTGTCATCTTCCATTTTACTATCTCTCACCACCCCCCGTATTAAATACATTAGTAAAACCTGTCGATTTCATTTTTACAACATCTCTAGAATACAACACCTTCTGTCTGACACTGCCACCGCCCTGATATAGGCCCTCATATTATGCCTGGACTACTGCAATAGCCTGCTGGTTGGCTGGCCTGCCACTACTCTCTACCACAATCCATGCTCTATTTAGATGCCAAAGCAATTTTCCTAAAGAGCAAGTCCAACTATGTCACTCCCTTACTCCATTAACTCCAGGGGCTCTCTGTCTCACCTCCAGGATTAAATCTAAAATTCCCCGTTGATGTTCAAAACCCTTCATAACCTATTGCCCCTAATCCTCTCAAATACATACCTTTCCCTTTTTCTTACACCTTATAATCCACTGCTCCTCTCCATATACACACCCTCCTTCAAAGACAGACAGACAGACACGTAGACACACACACACCCTCATTATAGTGACACTGGACTCCTTGTTGTTCCATAAACAAAACATTCCATCTCTCAACTCCAGGCATTTTCTGTTTGGCTGGTTTTTTTCATTTGTTTTTGCTAGGCAATGGGGTTAAGTGACTTTGCCCACGGTCACACAGCTAGTAAGTGTCAAGTGTCTAAGACTAGATTTGAACTCAGGTCCTCCTGACTCCAGGGCCGGTACTCTATCCACTGTACCACCTAGCTGCCCCCAGCATTTTCATTAGCTGTCTCCCATGCCTGTAATTCTTTTTCCTCGCATCTCTACATCCTGGCTTCTGCAGCTTCCTTCAAGTTCCAGCTAAAATCCCACCTTCTTCAGGATGCTTTTCCCAATCCCTCATCATTCTAGTGCCTTCCCTCTGTTGATGATTTCCTATTTATCCTGTATATAGCTTGTTTCTACATAATTGTTTGCTTGTTATTTCCCCCATTAGATTATGAGCTCAAGAATCTTTTGCTTTCTTTGTACCTCAAGCACTTAGCACAGTGCCTGGCACATAGTAGGAGGTCCTTAATAAATAAATGCTTATTGACTGAGTGGCTGATACATTTCTTTTTTTTTGTTAAGGAAAGGAAAAATACTAATGTGTATGACTGAATATACTACCAGCCTTCATCACTCTTCTATGCTATCTTACTTGACTGTTTGAAGTTATTAAATTGTGAGTATGCTGAAGATTTGTATTAGTTGCTGAAATAAAGTTCAATAAGTATTTATTAAGCATTTACTACATACAAAGCACTGTGCTATTCTATGAGGATTACAAGAAAAATTAATCCCTCCCATGAAGCTTAAATTTGATATGATACTACATGAAAAAAATAGAAAATATTGTGAGGAGGGAAAGTAAAAGAAATATTGAATTCTCAAGCAAATGCTGCCTCTTCCCAAAAGCCAAGGCTCAGGACCAGGAAGCTCCTGAAGTGTCTGTGGGTTTAGGAGAATAGTAAAGAGACATTCAAATTAATTCTGGTTATTAGAGAAGCTTCCACAGCCCTTGGACTATGGACACATCAAGAAGAGAGGCAGAGAAGTAAAGAAGAGACAAAAAAAAAAAAAGAAGTGAAAGGAGAGACAAGAGGAATGAAAAATTGGGAGAGGGCAAACAAACGACATGAAAGACTGGTGGAAGAGAGGACACAAGAGGGAGAAGACTCCTTTAATACAAATTTTCCATGGCTCTGCATCCCTCAACCTGTTGAAATTCTACCCATTCACGAAAACTTTCCTGATCTCCCTCCCTTCTCCTAAACACCATAGTCCTCTGGGCACCTAGCCTTACAGAATTCAGTCTCGTGTTCTCTGTACACTTGTCATCCCACTCCTCAGCTACTCGCTACTATACAGTGAGCTCCTTGGGTGCAGGGACATCTTTGTAACCCTCTCAGTGCTGATCACTGATGTACAGGAGCACATTTGTCAAATGAATGATCAAATGGAAGACAAGGCACGGAAGAAAGGAAGAGACTGGAGAAGAGGCACTTGGCCCAGGGATGCCAAGACTTATGCCTCTATTTTACAAAGCATTATGTACATACAGTAAGTAAAAACCGGGGTAATGGAAGGCACTGAGTTCTCTAAACACTGGCAAGTCAGCCTGGACTCCCTAGAACCAGCACATGCCAGTCAGTCTCTAACAAGGCCCAAAGCCCCTAAACAGCCTCCTCACACCGGGAACACCAGGATTCCCCCGGCCGGCAGTGACAGCACCAGGCACCAGGATAGGGCCGGCTGACAGGCCACGTTCCGGGGTCGCCCCAGGTTGCATTTCCCGAAAGGGGGGCTTCAGAGCACTAACTGGGCCCCACCGCCCTCATTCCCCAAACCCACCCTGGGTCCAGCCGCGCAGGGGACGTGCCCGGGCGTGCCGGGGGGCAGTGGGGAAGAGCCGACGGCTCTGCAAACAGACCCAGGCCACCAGCATAAAAAGAACGGAAAAAAAGGACTGCCCGTCTGCCTCGCAAGGGGCAGGAAGGTGCCCAACGGCCCACGTCACGGAGTCAAGGGAGGATAGCGACTTCTACCACGCAATCTTCCCACCCCTTCGCGCCGCTTCTCCTACCCCAAGGGCTCCGGCAACTGTGACTGCCTCCTCTGCAAACGACCTCGTCCTCGCCCGCGCAGGCGCAGGCGCGTTACCTCCTGCGCAGGCGCGCTGCCTCCCTCTCTCGCCGCTGGGCACGTCGGCGCAAGCGCGGTCACCGGGGTCTCCCACAGCGCATTTCGGAAGCGTCCCTGGGGAGGGCTGCGAAGCCAGAGTGTCCAGGGCGAGCCTCCCGGGCGCTGGGGTAGTGGCCAGGAATGGAGCGGTTGTGGCTTGGGATTTAGCCAACAGACTTTAGCTCCTGGAGGAAAAAGATTTGGGGGTCATTTACTCTCGTCACCTCCACTTTCTCAATGGCCGCTGTTCCACCCCTTGAAATCTGACTGCCGACCCACTAACACCTCCCTCACCCCCGCTCCAAAAAAAACACAAAAAACAGTTACCATTGATTAACTGGGAGATAAGGCCTTTTCTCTGGCCCCAAACGGCTTGGCCTCCTTGCGTCCATGGACCCTGCCCACCTCCCTCCGGTCAAGTGCACAAGCAGCCTACTATGTGCCAGGCGCTAGAGATACAAAGAAAGGCACAAAGACAGACAATGCCCGCCGTCCTCAAGCTCTCCGTGCGTTAGGGGAGACCACATGCAAAGAACTTCCTACAGACAGACAAGGTAAACTGGAGATAATGAACAGAAGAAAGGCACTAGGGGAACCAGGAAAGGCTTCGTGCAGACAGAAGGTGAGATTTTAGCGGAGTCTTCAGGAAAGCCTGGAGGTGGAGGCCAGGAGGGAGAGAGAAGTCCAAGCTCAGGGGACAGACAGTGAAAACGAAGAGTGGGAAGATGAATTGGATGTCACTGCAATGCAGGGTACCCCAGAGGACCTGCAGGGGAGAAGGGTGTAAGGAGACAGAAAAGGTAGAAAAGGGCCAGGATATGAAAAGCCAAACAGGATTATCTGTTTTATCTTGGAGGTCCTCTCTCCTGGATACCCCCTCTCTTCCCTGGGTTTTCACGATCCTGCCCTCTCCTGTTTCTCTTACCTCTCATCCCCTAGTGGGGTATGCCGGCCTCTTCCCTCCAGAGGGCCCTCTTTTCTTATTTGATTTATCCTTTTTGACTTCTAAATCTGCATCTTCACCCCATTCTCTCTCCTGAACCCCAGTCCAGTATGGCCAACTGTCTGATTTATGTCTCCACCAGAAATCAGCTTATTAAACTCAGTATGATTGATGTAGAAATTAACAGCTCCACTATTCAACCTGCTCCCCCAAACTTCCCTATTTCAGCTGAGGGCGCTCACTGCCCTTCGAATCACTCAGGTTGACAAGCTGAGTGAGTGATCTTTGGCACTTTTTTCCCTCTTGCTGCTACCACTCCAATATACAGTCAGTCGCTGAGTCTTACTGATTCTTTCCCTATGACTTCTTGCCACTTTTTCTCCACTCCTGGGGCCCCATTACTGCCTGGGCTATTGGCTACAGGTTTCTGCTTTCACTATATTTCCCCTGAGTCATCAGCCAGACTGATCTTCCTAAGGCATCAATCTGATTCCTCCCAAGCTTAAATAGGGAACAGTGGCTTCATATGGCCCCCTGGGATATAGTTCAAACTCCTCAACCTGGCACCCAAGACCTTTCACAACTTTACTTTTCCAGACTACTTCATACTAATTATTTCAGTTCAGGGGCCACATCCTCCTGGAATATCTCTACTTCTCTTCTCTCTTCCTCTCCAAGTCTTCCCAAATTGCATTGTATTTGTTATTGTTGTTCAGTCACGTCCTACACTTCATGACCCCATTTGGGGTTTTTTGGCAAAGACACTAGAGTGGTTTGCCATTTCCTTCTCAAGCTCATTTTACAAATGAGAAACTGAGGCAAACAGGGTTAAGTGACTTGCCCAGGGTCACCCAGCTAGTAAGTGTCTGAGGCCAGATTTGAACTCAGGTCTGCCTGGCTCCAGGCCCAGTGCTCTATCCACTGTCCCACCTAGCTGTCCTGCTTTATCTTACTTATCACTGTACAGGTTGTGGGCAACACTAGAGCTGAAGACTTAGAATCAAATGCCAGCTCTGCTACTTATTTAGCACTCCACTACTTTTGGAACCTGGGGCAGAGGACCTGGGTTCACAATCCAGATCTGTCACTTATTACCTGTGTAGCTCTGGGCAAGTCACTTAACGTTTATAAGCCTTAGTTTCCTTACCTATAAAATGAAGGGGTTTGACTAGATGATCTCTAAGGTCCCTTGTAAGCCTAATATGCTATGATTCTAGTTCAGTTTGAAGCAGCAAAAGAAAATTATGACGAGAAGCATGGGATCTGAGCACAGGCTGGTCAGATATTAAATAAATGGTATAAAAAAACAAGAGCAGTGTGACAGTACAGAGAGCAGGCTGGAATTGGAGCCAGGAAGAGCTGGGCTCAAATCCTCCTAGCCATGATACTATGGGCTAGTCACTTTACCTTTATGAGCCTCACAGAATCATAGCTCTAGAGCTGGAAGAGCAATCTAATTTAAGCTTTTCTCAAGGGATTTTGTGAGGTCCAGATGAGATGATGTACATAAACTACTTTGCAAACTTTAAAGCATTATGTAAATGTCAGTATAATTTAGAAATCAGAATCTGTGGTATACAGTCAAACATTTATTAAGCATCTACTATGTGCTAGGCTCTAGGGATACCTTCAAGGAGCTTACATTCTGTCAGCCAAGACAAAATATACATATCTGATTATATACAAAATACCTACAAGATAAATAGAAAATAATTTTTAGTATTAAAGTGCAAGTAAGAAGGATTTTGTTATTCTTTTTAGATAATAGGTCCCAGGATCCATGGCCAAAATAGATATTTCCCACAAATTATGGTTGAAAACAATTTCTCCTGCACAGTTGCAGTAGAGATATAGGGATGACGCCTGTGCTATCTAGGCCATGATGATATTACTAAAGTTAACCTGTGAGGTTATTGTTGGCAATATGCCTTCTTTGTCTGTTGCCCTATAAGGCCAGTGGGCACTGGTCAGTGAGTGGGAAACTCGTTTTGGGATTTGGATAATGCATAGAGTAATGCATGTACCTGCCTTGATTGGCCCCCATCAAGGCTTGGTTTTTTTTGGTTTTTTGTTTGTTTGTTTGTTTTTTTAAGGCAATTGGGGTTAAGTGACTTGCCCGAGGTCACACAGCTAGTAAGTGTCAAGTGTTTGGTCTGAGGCTGGATTTGAACTCAGGTCCTCCCGACTTCAGGGCTGGTGCTCTATCCACTATGCCACCTAGCTGCCCCAATTAATATTTCTTTCTTTCTTCTCCCCCCCCCCCCCCAGTTAGGCAATGGGGTTAAGTGACTTGCCTGGGGTCACACAGCTAGTAAGAGTTATGAGTCTGAGACCGGATTTGAAGTCGGGTCTATCTACTGCGCCACCTAGCTGCCCCCTCCCCCATCAAGGCTTGAGAGGAATTTGTGTTTGCCTCAACTGGCCCCCATTGAGGCTTAGGGGACCATTACAAAGTTATAGCTCCTACCATTCTTGCCCACCCTTCAAGAAGTGTGCTTAGGGAATTCTGTAGGAGTGGGTGCTCCCATTATCAGCAACCCTCTTTAGAAGACTAGACCAGAATAAAGTAAGCTTATTTAACCCCTCTGAAGCTATCTTCCTGTCTGCCCAGATGGAGAGAACCTATTAGAGGCTGGAGCCTAAAAAACCCCAGTGGCTCCAGTATTGTTACCTGTCTTACAGAAAGACATCAACATCCAGGGAGATAAAGAAAGGATTCATGTAAAAGGTATCACTTAACCATAATTTTGAAAGAAAAAAAGGTTTCCAAAAGGCAGAGGGGAAGAGGGAGAGCATCCTTCCCTGGAGGATGGTCATTATCAAGGTACAGACACACCTTTAGGAGGTGGAATGTGTAATGGAAAGAGAGGAGAATGATGTATAACAAGATTAGAAAGATAGATTAGGGCCAGGTTGTGAGGGTCACTAAAGGCTAAACAGATTTATATTTGATCCTAAAGCAAATTTCCTTAGCCTTTTTGTCATGAACTTCTTTGGTAGGCTGGTGAAGCCTATAGATCCCTTCTCTTAATATTTTTTTTAAATGTACAAAAATAAGATACACAGGATTACAAAGGAAGCCAATTATATTAAAATAGTTATCAAAATACTAAAAAAAAAAAAGTTCACGGACCCCAAGTTAAGAGCCCCTTCACTAGAGGCAATAGGAACCCTCATTTTCATTACCAGTAAAATTGGAAAGGTCTTTTTCTCCCATCCCTCACTCCCACTAAGAAAAGTCTGGCCTTGTGCTAAAACAAAATCAATTCACTGTGGTATAAAATTGACATAGTAAATATATAATTAGGGCATTTCCCCTCTGACTTAGAATAACCCTTCTCAAGTTCCAAGATGATCCTGGTTGCCATTTTCCTTAGTCTTCGTTGTAATTCACTATTCGGGTAAGTGTGCTCAAACCATTTTATCTCAGCAGGAAAGTAGAAAAAGTAATTTGATGAAAGCATAATCCCAAGCCAACTTACTGTATAACGTTAAACAAATCATTTCCCCTCATTTTCCCCATTTTAAAATAAGAGGGTTGCACTAAATGGTATTTAAGGTCCTTTCCACCTCTAAAGTTATATGCATCCATGATTACCCAGATTTTAAACACTAAGTTAACAAGTCATAATAACTTCATTTTCTGTGATTATCAGAAGCAAAAATCAGTGTGAGAACTAATAGATCATTCTTATATAATATTTTACAAAAGACTTTCATTATGACTATCCCTCATTATGATGGTTAAGTATTATCCCCATTTTACAGGATTAAAAACTGAGACTCAGGTTATAAGGAT